TCGTCCCTCGTCCCTCGTCCCTGTCCCTCGTCCCTCCCTCGTCCCTCGTCCCTGTCCCTGTCCCTGTCCCTGTCCCTGTCCCTGTCCCTGTCCCTCTCCCTCTCCCTTGCTGCAATTCTTGTGATGAAAGCGGAATAGCTTCCATACTTGTGAGTTGTTCGGTCTTTTAGTGCGCAACGTGCTTCTCCACAATTCCCGACATGCTGCGACTCTGAGAGCACGGCATCTCTTCCTTCTGCATGGGTTAGTTGTCAGTTGTGTCTCCCCCCGAGCTCGTATGCCTTGTATGGCTCTGATAAGTTGGCCGCCACTGTGCATGATCGGATTCCACTGGCGGTGCATTGACCAACTTGAGTTGGCAAAGTTCTACTGAGAAATGAAACTGCGGCGTATCAGGCTGCGTGATAACAGCCTGATTCGAATCATCTTTCAGCAGGCTACGAAGAAAGTTTCCAGAGGCAATTTATGTACAACAGTCGTCAAAAACAACATCACTATTTACATCAGCTGTACACATTTGTTGATTCGTTACCGGGTCATCCGTCAATCCAGCAATGCCTCGTAGGATTGTTAGATCACTCCCAGAAGAAGACACTTCTCCATCATCGTCATATGCGGAATTCAAAGACACTCGTCGAAATTTGAACTTTCCACAGAACTTTGGATCTTGCATCTTTCGCTTGTCAAACTGCGAAGGAAGTATCGCTTCCATCACGTAGGTCCCTGTGCCTTGCTGGGCCTGATCTAGATCCTTCTCGTGTAAGACCGTTGAGGGATGCAAGAGAAACTCGTCATACTCTTCTATTGTCAGGTCTTCAAAGATGAAGATCAAGGCCTTCTTGCCTATGAGAAGCGCTTGAAACAACAAGTTGTAAAGAAACGCCATGACCCCCGAGTTTTGTGATGCTGTCGCGCTGAGGTCCATCAGCGCTTTTCGGCTACTTCTGAGAGCTGTTCCGTACCCTTGTGAGTTGTGGAAATGGTTTGCTCTGAGCTCGCTGCAGGAGGAAGAAGGACAAGAGACGAGGCCAACAGGCTGTTGCCAGCAACGACGACGATGGATTAAAGTATAGGAGGAGCAGACGGGAGAGTCACGAATGCACGGCTAGGGAGGGTCATCGACTTGTGTTGTAAAGCTGCCGATTGTATGGGAGGAGGAAACAGGCACGAGGGATGCGGGGGTCAACTCGAGCCTTGTTGCCCCTTGCGTGCTATCGACCACCACTCAGTACCACAAGAGGTCGCTTGCGGCCGTCAGCAAGGCTCTAGTCACGCCGTCTCAAAGTGTACCGTACCTGGTCGGGAGTCTCCAGCGTGGGTCTTTTAAAACTGGGTCACAGCCTGTGGGGACCGTGACTCGGACGGTCGCGGCCCGGCGCGGCGGGCGGCGGCGGCCCGGCGCCTGGCCGCTAATTCACTGTTCCGAGGCCGCGGCTTCGGAGCCTCCGAGTGAGCCTCGCCGGGGCGGGGCCCCGGCTTGCCAGGAAACCGTGCCGGGCATTGGCCCCGGGACCGCCTGACGGTCAGTGACTTGCCCGTCACGGCGGCGGGGCGAAGTTGAGACCGGCGGGCGCGGCCGGGCCGCGGGCCGTGACAGCGCGCGGCGGCCCCGGTGGCCGGGCACGGTCACGACCGTTGCCCGGCCGCGCCGAGTCACCCAGTAGCCTAGTAGGCTTGAAGGGCAGGAGAGCCTGTTAGCCTGAGAAGGCCGGCTCCGAAGCCTGAGTCCGAAGTTAGGAGACTGCCAGTCACAGTCGGACCCGGTGACCGGGCCGCCAGGCTGAACTTGAGCCGCTATGTCACGGTCGGAAACTTCGAAACTTTGAACTTTACAAAGCAGATTATGCTCTGCCGACCGTTCTAACCTGGAAGTTGCGAAGGGTCATCAACCTCTTAAAAACCCCAAGAGCCAATCTGTCATCTAATCAATACCACAGAGTTCAGATTACCACAATATACCCCTCATTGAACCCAGAGAGTACCCCATTATTTCGGAGGTACACAGAAGTTTTTTTTGAATAAAAACTTCCTACCCTTTCGCCTGCACAGATCAATGCCGGGCGCTCAGCTCACACAACAGCTCTTCTGCATTGCCGCCGGCAAGGTAAGATGTCAGTGCTCTTCATCATCGAATCAAACATCAACTTTATATCACACTACACGCACTTGAGATGCTCACCCCTATGCTGTACTTGTTTCTTCCTATACAACTCTCAATCTATCCAGACTGTCATTGCTGTTACGCCTTGGTTTTGTAAGCGTGGTGCCATTTTCTTTTCAGTAGCTCAGTGTTCATCGATCTTCTGTGGTAACCTGAGTTTTTTTCTGTGCTTTTCTGTTCCAATCGTTGTCCACCCACTCCTTTGTTGTTTTCGCATTAGTACCTTGTTAGTCGATCTCAAAGCACTCTTTGTACTCATTTAGCGGTGGCGCCTTTTTCCTCCAAACCTGCAATGATCGTTCGTCATGCTTGATCCCTCATGAATTGTATTTCTTTTTGTGTGTATATCCTGTATAATCATTGAAGTTGAGCTCTAATTGGTTGAGCTGCTCAACTGTGGCGAAACATTTGTTGATGTTGCGTACTCCCGCATTGTTGCTTGCATTTGTACATCCAACCAATGTCGTATTCTCTTGACCTCCTCTCTTGTTCAGCCCGGAGGTGGGAGCTTCCTGCCTCACTGCTATCCCGATGTGCAAGCCCCTCAGGCTGCGCAGAAGGTTAACGGATGGGGACCCTACTTTGCCAACGACAGGTCAGACGCTTTGCAACTTCCCTTCCTGTGATTGCTGACTTGTTGATGCGGCGAGCAGCCAGGGATACATCGCCTATGGAACTGGCAACTTCGATGGCCAGGGATCTGGACATGAGTTCTTCGGCACCGTCTGGCATCCTACCCACGGATATGTGAACAACTGTGAGTGCCACTGGCGATGATTTGATATCCGGTGACGTATTAAAAGGTGATGGCGGCCGCTCCCACTGGTCGTGCGACTATCGTCAGGCTTAAAATGATGTTGGTACTGTTGTTTCATGCTCTCGATTTCTGGATTGTTTATAGTTATATCGACAGGTTTGACGAGTGTGCATCTTCGCTCTTTTGTCAAATATGGAGCCTCAGAAAGCCTGCTTTGAATGTCGGTTCTAGCCTAAGAACTTTCATTGATTCGGAATGTAGATTCAACAGTCTTTATCATATGTCTTCTTTGCCTTAAGCTTTGCTTGACAAGCCCACCAGTTTCTTGTGTTGTTCATCTTGTGCGTTCGGCTGAGAATAGCTTCAGTCTATGGTGATAGTCTGTGGCATCTGACATTCATCGAAGTGACTGCTACTAACACCCAGCATGGGATGAGCAGATGCTTTCAAGGTAACAACAAATCCCTGTCCATGGTCGTGCAACCAGAAATCTTTTTGGAAAACCTAAACTTCTCCGTTCTACTTCGCACGCAACCACTAATCAAAGCGTTAGATCTTGCAATCTACACAAGAGTGCATGGGAATTGAGGATCGCACAACTCTTTGGTTTGGCTTAGTACATTGAAATGCAGCTCAAACATTGAAAAATGATCTAGTCTGACCTCGACAAACCTGTAGCGTCCTCAGCGAACTTGACCAACTCCCTGGCTAAGCCTTCTTTGTACGTCGTAGGGGAAGATCGTGTTATCCTTGGTTTCCACGACAGTTTCTGGAACATCTCGAGGATGAGCATTACAAACCCACTTCCTCGAGGAACCTCTCGAGGAACCCAATAAGGAACACACCAGCTCCCTGGCTCAAACCTTTGATCTGTCAAGGCAGCAAATACAGCTGGATCTGCTCCTTGTTTTGGTTCCACAGCCATAGGTAAGAAGCCAAAAGATTTTCCTTTCCCTCTTTCTTTGCAGAGAATTTCAGAAGACACAAGTCCTGGAGTGATAGGGACAACTTGTATGTCAACATTTTCTCTCTCAAAGCGCCGCTGAAGTTCATAAGCGTGGAGAATATTTGCCAATTTAGACGTGGCATACATTTGAAACCTTGTGAAATCGTTGGCTTTCTCAAGTGAAACCCCCTTTCGAAATAAAAAGTCTTCTCTGCCTATCCAGTGTGCATTAGACGCTGTTACGACTATTCTAGATGGTGTCGACAACTTCAGATTAGGAATGAGCAGCTCACAGAGAAGAAAATGCCCGAGGAAATTTGATGCGAACAACAAGTCATAGCCATCAGCATTCATCCAAGGACCAGCTTCCTTGACTTTGTAAACCATTCCAGCATTCAGGAAAAGGTACTTGAGAGGCTTACCCTCGAGCTGCTTTGCTGCCTCCCTCACACTATCAAAGTTTGAGAGGTCCATAGGCAGAGGCTCTACCTTTCCCTTTCCACCTGTACTAGAACCGAGGATCTCCTCACAAGCTTTCTCACATCTCAGTCTATCCCTTCCAGACACGAAGACATGAAGCCCTTGCTCAAACATGCGCGCCGCGATTTCTCTGCCCACCCCCGTTGACGATCCTGTCACTAGGCACGCCATCAGTGTGTGCGGATTTGACCTGGTTCTTTACATCAGCTGTCACGGGCCCGGCCGGCGCCGGAAAGACAGGACAGGTGGCACTGAGATGGTACGGCAGGCGCCGCTAGTAGAGAGGGGACCTGACCCGCCCTTTTTTTCCTGGGTGATTTTCATCTTATTTTAACCCCACCCCTTCTTTATGACCCTCCCCCCCTACATCTCGCCGGCAAGGGGTTGAACGCGGCAACAGCAACCCCTACTACTCTCATTGAAAGATGGTTGACCCCTCCGAGGTCTTGCGCCCCTTCCTACCTGACCCATACCCCTACCCCTCCCCACCCGGACTTCCACAATGAACACACCGGATCATCACCCCCCACCCTCGACTACGTCTGCACGATGGGATTACACGACCCCCTTATGCTACATGAAACTGGGTTGTGGGGTGCTTACCACCCCTGGTGGTGAGTGCTCTCATCACTGTTTGAGACTTGACTTTTGAGATGATGAGTGGTAGGGTCCTCATTGCGATCTAGTGGGGTGGTGTTGCTGCCACGTTTGTACCCAGTCGCTCTACCACTAATGAAGGGGTCGAGGTAGGTCAGACGGGGTGGTTGTGTCGATTGTTCTTGAGGGATTTGTAGGGTAGGGGTGGTCACTTTCTTTTGAGTACGGGTACAGCCCTAGATTTTATTATTGTTTTATTATACTACCACCCTGTGCTGTGGGGTGGTGTCAGAAACAGGGGTTTAAAACATGTTACGACCCTGCGAAGAGGAATGGCAGGAGCTGCAGGGAGGCTGCGCGGACTCAACCCATGCATGCGATGATTGTGACGTTGAAGTAGAACGAGAATGTATGTCACATACACACATAGGATAATCTGCTTCTTTTTGAGTGAGCAGCTTTGCACACTGATAAGTGAGATCTTACAGCAGCAGGAAATCCCATCGGACACATGTCACCATGAAGGATGAGTTATAACGCAAAGGTAGTTGTTCAGGCCTGTCCGAGTCGCTAGCATTCATATTTCATATTTTCTGAATCAATTGGGATAAAGAAATTGCCAGATAGGGCAGGAACAGTGTTCTTTATGTTGACCTACCTTCTGGCAGAAATGTTAGCAGCTTCAAGAAGGATGCAACCGACCAAGGTAATTTCGATACCTCAATCAGCTCGACCTGCGAATCAATCGGTCTCTGATTGTAAGGTGCTTGCAGGCCTTGTTTTCAGTCAGATCCATGGCACTTCGGTATGATTCTGATGCTGTATCCTTGACCGGAAATGACGCTCTTGCCAGCATGGTGCCGTCCAGACACATGAGCGGCGCCCCTCCCAAAGGCAAGGGATACGACATCCTCCGAGACCCTCACGTCAATCAGGGAACTGCGTTCGATAAGGTTCATAGGTGTGCGCACTTGCCGTCTTGCGATATTGTGCATCTCAATGGTGCTTAGGAAATACCTTGGACTGAGAGGGCTCCTCCCTCCAAGATGCTTCTCGTTCTCGGACCAGATTAGAAGGTCTTTGCAGCAGGTGCACATTGCTTCGATCGACCAGTATTCTATCAGGAAGTTTGACTGTAACCTTTTAGCTAGAGAGAATGCACAATCCGCTCGACAAATATGTTCACCTCATGTCTCTACAGGTCTGAAGACGTTTCTTGATTGTCTGAACCTTACAATCGTGCCAGGAGCGAAATGAGACTCTTTTTTATAGAATCATGTATTGGCAGATGTGATTGTAACAAATGGCTTCGTGATGTTTTTTTGTAGCATTGATCATGTTTCGGAGATGATGCCCTACATCTATACCCCTACGGTTTGGTGTGTCGATGTGACCCCTCCGTGCTGAATTTCTTTAGGTCGGTGAAGCCTGCCAGAAGTATGGCAATATTTTTCAACGACCAAGAGGTCTTTACATCTCCATTGAAGACAAGTATGCTATTTCGAAGCAGACAATGTGGTTGATCTTTGGTTGATTATAGGGGAAGTGTTCGCGAGCTGCTGGATAATTGGCCTTTCGATGACGTCAAGGTTGAATTCTGTGTATCTCCTTGAAGCATGATTCTCTAAATAATGTGCAGGTAGTGGTTATGACTGATGGAGAGCGAATCCTTGGTCTGGGAGACCTTGGTTTGTGAAATCTTGAATGGAAGGCGAATTGGTTGAATTTCCATGAAGGAACTTACGGCATGGGAATTCCTGTTGGAAAATTGAATCTGTACACTGGTATCCAAGTCAAAATTGTATTTTTTTCCACATTGAACTGCATTGCAGCATGCGCTGGCATCCCTCCAGAGCATTGCCTCCCAATTTCCATCGATGTTGGAACTGACAATCCCAAGGTCGACACGAATTCAAAAAATATTTGCAATCTGATTTTTATTTTTTCCTAGCTTCTCGAAGATCCGTTCTATACTGGTGACTATGGATGTGTGGCACTTTTCATCATATCATCCATACCATTGCAGGAATTCCAAAACCGCGTATCAGAGGGGAAGAGTATGATGCTTTCATGCATGAGGAACAATTCGAATAACCTCCGCTTCTAATCTGAAACCACATTTTAGGTAATCACTGCGCTGGGCGAAAAATTCCCGGGGGTTCTCATTCAGTTCGAGGACTTTGGCAACACGTAGGTAATTAATGGGACAGTTGTATTGTTTACGATGTTGGCAGCAACGCCTTTAGACTCCTCTCCAAGTACCGTGAGGAAATCTGCACTTTTAATGATGATATCCAAGTGAGAATTCTCTTGTTGCATTGGCACGTGTTGACTGCAGGGTGATTCAGGGAACTGCATCTGTTGCGCTCGCCGGTCTCATGAGTGCTGGACGAGTGAAGGTTCGAGCAGCAAGAATAGTTTATTGTTTCCGAATAACTAACTTTGATGTAGGGAACGAGGTTGCAAGATGAGACCTTTGTTTTCATGGGTGCAGGAGAGGCTGGAACAGGCATTGCTTTGTTTTGGTGGAAAATTTCAATTCTCATTCAAGTTCCAGGCATTGCAGACCTGATTGTCGAACAAATGGTTGATGAAGGATTGTCGGTTGAAGAGGCCCGCAATAAGTAATTTAAAACACCTGAGGAAGCTGATTTCGAGTCTCTGACGTGAAGGACAGAGTCTGGCTTGTTGATTCCAAAGGATTGGTTACTAAGCGAAGGTCGGGAACAACGAATATTTCCCACCCTTCAGCGGATGTTTACGTTTCCAACAGGCCCGATTTCGCAAAGATGCCTCACCACAAGCTCCCGTATGCCCATGATCACGAGATTATTGGAGGTTTCAGCCTCGCCCAGTATTTCTGGTTTCTTACGTGCACCAGATCTCCGAACTGTCGTCAAGACGATCAATCCAACAGCATTGATTGGAGTCTGCACCCAGGCATGAATCGTTCCAAGCACTGCCGTAATAATGATGCTATCTGGCAGGGTGGTGTTTTTGATGAGGACATCTGCCGTCACATGGCGAAGATCAACCCAAGACCAAGTATTCCTTTGCAAAAAAAATCTCCCTGATTTCCTTTCTCCTCATACATTACATTTGCACAGTCATTTTTGCGCTCTCCAACCCAACGTCGGCCTCCGAGTAAGTTGACGCTGATGACAAGAATGCACGTTGACCCTGCTGAAGGTGCACAGCCGAGCAAGCGATTCAGTGGACCGACGGACAAGTGCTCTTTGCAAGCGGGAGCCCTTTTAAGCCTGTCGTCTATGAAGGCAAGGAGTTTGTTCCTGGCCAGGTACAGTTCCTTGAGAGCTGCTTGAAGGAGTATGACGAGGAGGGCAGGGGAACAACACCTACATATTCCCAGCTGTCGGACTTGCAGTGATCGCAACCGGAATGAAGCACGTTCACAACGACGTGTTCCGTGTAGCCGCAAAGTCCCTTTCACAGCAGGTAGATCCTGAAAGGTCTTCCAGGTGTTCCTGTGACACAAGTCAGGTGTCCGAGCTTGACTTCCAGAAGGGGTGCCTCTACCCTCCCCTTCACAACATCCGATCGGTGAGGCACACTGGCACCACCTGATGGCTCCTCCCCTCGCTCATGCACCATCCTCGCAGGTTTCCATGAAGGTTGCTGAGGCCGTCGCCTCGGTACTCTCCTTGCTCTTCCCCGCCCCTCGCATGCTGACCGAACGTAATCAGCACACCTGGGCCAATGGCACCGCGTCCACCCCTCCTCCTGTTGACGTCCATGTGGTACAACGATCAGCAAGACCGTGTTATCATCGAGCCCACTGAACCTTGAACAGGCTCTTTCGAACATCGTGTACGAGCCCAACTACAGGCCTTCCGTCTCTGACGCCGTCTGAACTTCTTCCCCTCCTCCCGCGCAGCATTGTTTATCAGAACTTACGCGCAGTAAACTGCATGAAAGTAGCAAGCTTCTAAGCTTCAGTCCGAAATGTTCATGCACGGTGCACAACGGTTTGACCGTACTATGATCAGCCGTGTAAGTCGCTTCCTGTTTCAAAACTTGAATCGCCTTGATGTCAACCAAAAAACAAACAGAACAGGTACAACGCTCATCTAATCAGAAGTCTAGTAATAAATTGAGTAGGATTCCCAATCATTCTTTATTGAATCAACGTTACTGTCAGTTGCTTCGTTCGATGATGGACAAGCCTGACACGCTGCGACTCGACGATCGATCAATCATTCTCCACAATGCAACTTGATCCTTGCAACAAGCATTTCCGGAAATGAGATTGCAGATAAGCGGTAATTTGTTCATCAGCACAATGATTCGTAGTTGTTCGAGACCCTATGCAACCTCGCGTGCAAACCAGGCTCGCCTGCAAAGCGGTCCTGGCTGATGAAGGCTACATAAGAATACGATTGATTGAACCGTGACCAGCCAAACGAGCCTTATTGTCCTTGTTGGTTCTTAACCGTAGAGTCAGCTCAGTGAAGATGTTCATCGCTTTGGATGCCTATGCACGCAAAGAGTGTGAACCTACTTTTTCAAAGGGGAACACCTGTAGTGCATCCAATGAGTGATCAAAGGCTTTCAAGAATGCGCGTGAAGCACCTTTGTTGGTCCGTTCAACTCATCCGCCCATCAGTTACCACGGAAAAATTACTAGTACCGATGACAGTTCTGTCATCATCTGCTTTCTTCAACGCATCGTCCTCTGGGATCGAAATCAGTAAGGAAAGAGGAAGTACTCACTTACTCAACCCAGCCTAGTAGGCTTCTCTTTACTCAAAGTTAAGTTAGGAGTGCACAAGAAGTAGAAAGATAAAAACTCGTCGAGTGAAAGTTAGATCGACATGGGTGTGTAGTATGGATGAACAACCGGTACTGAAGCAGTTTTCTGTATCTACCCACCCTGTATCCCAATTGATGGAAACCGGTGGGTACAACACTTACAATACATTTGGGTTGTTTGGTACAATGTTAAAACTAGACTTTTATTGCGTCTGTCAAATGGTTGGTAACAAGGACCGGTACTAATAATTAATTACAATATGTTCAAAGCGTTTTGAAACTTTTACATTGCAACCTCAAAGAAGAGAGTTGCCTCTTTTCTGTGATGGTCTAGTGCTACCACCTTCTCCCTTCCCTTTCCTCGGGCTTCAGGCTTTGACCACACGGTCAGGTCAGGACATCCGGTTGATTGCAGCATGACATCGGGTCTTCTGAGGATTGCAGCAGGTTTGTTCCAGGTGTTCGGTCTTGTTGATTCAATGTTTTTTGCAGGGCTAGTGCTTCTGACCACATGTGCATGTGCACTTCTTGGACAGCATTTCCCGCGCGGATGCGCTCAGCACATGATGCCCGCGGTGATTCGAGGAGGGGGAGGGGTGCCGCATGCAAACATGGACCTGGAGGACGTTGAGGAGGATGTCGCGGAGGCAAGGCTACGACAAGAACAAGCCAAGTCGAGAGAGAAATGGAGAATGTTACGAAGAAGATAGATGAGGTAGAAGAGGAAGCACGGGGCATCGCCAAGGAGCTCAAGGACTTGGAGACGAAGAAGGCTGACATAAGGATACAGCTTCTTGACAAGGGGGCGGACCAGAGGTACTGGGAGGATATATTGAGGGATGTCGAGGAGAAAGAGAAGTACCTGCGAAAGGAGAAGCAGAACCTGCGAAAGAAAGAAGAAGACCTGCGAAAGGAGAAGCATGACCTGCGAAAGGAGAAGCAAGGTCGGCTAATGAAGGAAGAGATTAACCACGGGATTCAGTGGATGGAGACACCGTTGGATGCTAGTGAGCTGGGCTATGAGGAGAATCGCAAACTCTTTAGTGTCGATCGATCGATTATGAACTGGAACCCTGGGACAGCAGGGAAGGTGGTGCTTTACTGCAGGGATGGCTTCAATGAGCAGATGGATTTCCTCGAGGAGAAAGTTTGCAAGGAAGGATATATGGGTTGGATCTTGGGTCCTCCAGGGACGGGGAAGACAACGACGACGATATGTTTCATACTATCAAAAAGCATTGAGGAAGGGTGGTGTGTGATGTTCGTGCGGCTGTGGAAGTGGGGGATCGTCAGTTGTATACAAGTGGTCGACGGGCAGACGGAAGTATCTTGTTTCGTTGGACGGCTACGTGCAGGGGGTGCATGAAAATGGAGTTGTATTGAGCATTTGCCTGCTATGGCGCAACTTTGACAGGGAGAATCGGCGACTTGCCGTCACGACATCGATGAGCTCTCCAGGAAAGAAGAGCGACGAGCAAGATAGAATAGAAAAGGTGAAAGAGATGAAGGTTTACTCTTGGACGCTGGAGGAGTACCAGGATGCCGCCAAGTACGACTTGCTGTATATGAGTGTGGCTGAGGCTATGGGAACGAGTCTGGGCAAGAGAAAACAAACGAGAAGGCGTGAGACAGAAGAAGAGAGAAGGGCGAGAGAAGTCGAGTCCAAGTATCGGGTAGCCGGGGGCTCATGCCGGCTCATGTTCGAATATACGACAGAGGAAGCGATCGAAAGCCTTCGTGATGCGATGAGCGTTGTGGACGATTTTCCGAGCCTGATGGAGTTTTCTACTGGTGAGCAATCGAAACGGTTTGTGAATCGACTGCATGGGAAGCACCGTATTGGAAAGAAGGAGTACTGGGGGCTTGTCAGCAGGTTTGCTGCCACGGAGCTAGCGGAGAAGCTTGGAGAGTCCTTTGTAAGGAAAATAGAAGAGCTCACCAACATGGCTGAGAACCCAGTACTACGGGGAGTGTTGTTCGAGATGCTGTTCTTTGCTCGGATAAAGCAAATGCCAGGACCGCTAAAGCTAACCACCATCCAAGGAGAAGATGTTGAGTGGTCAAGTTGCGAAGTGGAGTCTTTTGATCCAACAGATGTTTATGAGGCTGGGGAGAATAGCAAGGAGCGCGTGTGCCTGAAGCCCGTGGCATGGAACCAGGGAGGATATGATGCTGTGATTGTAGACTGGAGCTCCAAGTTAGTACGGTTTGTGCAGGTGACGTCTAGAGAGGCTCATGACCTGAAGCTGCGGTACTTCTCGGACTGCCTGGATTCCTTGAGCATCCAAGGATGGGAGCAGTGGAAGCTTGAGATCGTCTTTGTCGTCCCCAAGGACAATGTTGAGAGGTTCAGGGTAAGCAAGGTGGAGGACGAGGACGCGCTTTCGAGTGGTCGGGCTTGACCCGAGACCATGTGGATCTTTGTGAGGACAGCGAAGTCAATTGTCAAGGAATGATGAGACCAGCGGAGTGCAGGAGTTTGGTCATCGGATGAAAGACTGTCAAAGTTGCGCCATAGCACAAGAAGGATTGGCCTGGATCACCATGACTGAAAGCAGCCATTCAACATTTACAGTGTCAATCCTTTACACAAGACTCAGCATCAGATAACTGGTGATTTTTATATTTGATTTCAGCCAGGTTTAATGAGCTCTGAGGAAATGAAAAACTTGCGGGTTGTCAAGACTGCGATGTGTTGGCTAGATGGCTCTGTAGTGAGAAATGTTTAAACTTGACTCTGCTATTCGAATAAACATCTGATATAGAGCGTTGAGATACTTTCATCTTGTATGAAATTATGTGAGTAATGCATTGACAAGATCATCCACCTTGCGGCGGCGTTGCAGCCCCCGTTGGCACGAGCAAGGTTCATTTGCATGTTGATATGAATAGATTGGAGTACCATACATTTTCGCTAAAGAAGGATTTGTGTGCTATGGCCCCCCACCCCCACCCTTGTAAACGGTCTTCCACGGACCCGTTGGGTGAGCAATCAGCCTTCCTCCTTGGACGTTCCCCGACAGAACCCGCAACCTTCTCCGTCCTCCCTCCTCCCTCCTCCTCCTCCTTTTAGAGCCTCGGCTCCTTCTTCCTGGGCTCGCTCGTTCCGATGCCACTTTGTCGTCCACATAGCACGCAACGCCCTTACAGGATGGATTCGTTCCTCACAAGTTGCTTCCTGCCTGCCTGCCTGCCTCCCTCCCTCCCTCCCTCCCTCCCTCCCTGCATATCATTCTCCTGCTCCCCTTCCCGTCCTTCATGTGCATGTTTCAACACCGTCGCATTACGTGTACTCACCGCTGGTCTCAACCCCCACAAGACTCAAACCTGCCATCTCTCCTCATCGTCATCCATCCAAATCTTTTGCCTTCTACAACAAGCTCACCTACTTATGACTCTCTTGTAGGCAGGTATCATGCAGGCGGCCAGGCATCTCCTCAGATCGCCATGCCTGAGGAGGAGGCTCGCTCCATGTGTCGCCCTGCCCGTCCTCCCTTCGTCATCTTCCCTTCTAGTACCACGACGGCCGAGAGGCCTCGGGCTTGCGGTAGGAGGGGCTCCTCCCCGTCGATGCATGTCGCAGCAAGCTGGGGGAGAGGAAGGGATGGTGTCGAGCTCTCTCCGAATGCTCCCTGGCGTCGCATCGGCTGCTGCCCTTTCCTCACTCAGCTACGTCATCGCGGACAAGGCAGGAGTGCAGCTACTCGCTCTCCAAGGCATCACGGGAGCCGCCAGCCCCATCTCAGGCATCCCCGTCGCCATCCTTCTGGGACTGGGGCTCAAGAATTTCGTCCTCTCCCAGGAGCAGGTGAAGCTCATTGACCCGGGTCTTAAGCTCTCCACCTCCCTCATTCTCCGCACCGGCATCGTGTGCATCGGCGCGAAGCTCAGCGCTATGGACATCCTCACGCTCGGCTCTGCCGGCATCCCGGCGGTGGTCGCGTCCATCACGACCGGGCTGCTTTTCATCCCGTGGCTGGGGAAGAAGATGGGGCTGCCTCCCCACATGTCCTCCCTCATCGCCGCTGGAACCTCCATCTGTGGCGTCACCGCCATCTCAGCCTTGGCTCCGGTCATCAAGGCCAACCAGCAGGACGTCTCCTTCGCCGTCGCTAACGTCGTCATGTTCGGGACCCTGGGGATGCTGATGTGGCCGTACCTCTCCCACTCCATCTTCCTCATCCCCGAACAGGTGGGTATCTTCCTGGGGCTGGCGGTCCACGACACGTCTCAAGTGATGGGGGCTGCGCTGACGTACAAGCAGCTGTTCAACGACGACCTTGTCTTCAGGATCGCCGCGGTCACCAAGCTGACGAGAAACATCTTCCTCGCAGCCGCGATCCCGTTTCTCGCGCTCCAGCTCAACGCGGGAGGAGCAGACAGAGCCAAGTTCTGGTCCTGGTCGACCATGAAGAAGTCGATCCCGGGCTTTGTGCTCGCCTTCCTCTTCGTCGCATGCCTCAGGTCCATCGGGGATCACACGATAGCTGAGGGAGGACGAGCGTACGGCCTTCTCAACAAGGAGGAGTGGACTCGGTTCCACAGCGCCGTGAGCACGTTTGGAGGGCATTACTGCCTAGGTAAGAGAGGTGGCTGCAGTGTGGATGAGCAAGTGACGGATTTCGTTGTCTTCACTTAACGTGTGCTCGATGCTGTCACGCCGCTCATGTCTGCCCAACCCCAGGTGTTGCCATGGCTGCTGTAGGGCTGGGAACTTCTCTGTCTGTCCTCAAGTGCGGCTCTGCTCCTGCCCCTGCCTCCACTCATTGACTTCTGCGCAGAGGTGTGGGCTATCGAGCTTTCCTCGTGGGGTTCGCAGGCTCCGCTGCTGTGAGTTTCACAGCGTTCAGCAGCGTCATGCTCCTTACCAAGTTCGGGCTAATCAACCCGCACTCACCCAAAGACGAAAGAGACGAGTTGAAGAGATGAAAGAATATGTATTTAACACATTGCAATGTACATCAACAAGACGAAAACAATAATTCCCCATAAGACATCAGTTCCCAAACTCCATCTTTGAGGCACTCCGTCGTATCCGCATCGGTTGCTGATGCCTCTGCGAGCTCTGAGACGCATCTCGTCGATCACAGGCCAGAACAGTGTGCATGTAGTCCGACTGGCGGCTGAAACCTGTAATGCATCATTACAATAAGATTCCCTTCGTTGGCAAGAACCCAAACATCACGGGAGAGAAGAATAAGGTCAAGAGGTCCACATCACATTTCAGTTACAAACCAGGTGGGTGTGGTCTTGGAGTGCTTGCAGGCTGACAGAACGTGTCCACCTCGTAAGGCACGAAGTAGTCGACATCCGAGTAGTCGCCCTGTCCAACCCAATGTCATCTCGCCAGTCTAGACATCCAGATGGTGTCACCTGCTGTAAGTAGCTGTTGCTCCTTAAGATTCTCTTCTCTGCCTTGTGATCCACCAGCTCATGCAGCTCGGAACTGAGATCGCGGGAGATTTTCGACCTACATGGCCATCAGTCAACCGGGCAGACGAAGGCTCCAACAGCATACTGTCCGAGGTTGCCGTAACCAAGTTTCTGCAGCGAAGGGTTTGATATCTGATGAAGAACGAAAGTCATGCGAGCTAAATACTTGGGACGGTGAAGACAACACCTTGTTCGAAGAAGCTAATTCAGCATGGGTATCCGAAGGGATTTCAACTGTGTCACCAACATCAGCAACCATGTCTGAAAGAAAGATGAACAAACCTATGCATAGAAGAAGAAGCAAAACCGTGCTAAGCTTACTGAGTTTTCTATATCCAGATGCTTTACATTGGTTCCAGCAATGTGACATGACCTGCTAAAAACGCTTTAGAGTCTGATTTTCAACCATCAAAATCTGGAACAAGTTGCAAATTCAAAAGAAAAAAAAACGATGTTTGTGTGTGAAGCATGATCATCAAATCCACTCAAATGCACTTTGGTACTGTTGCACGCCAAAGAAATTATCTCAGGTGTTTTGATTCAGCTGCTGTCATTCACTATATTTCAACCAGCATTTTTGAAAGCACCGATATTTTCAATCAACCAGATGAGCGAGAAGCATGGACAAACAACCAATGAGCACAGAGGATGCATATCTTGTCTCTGACACTAGTGAGAGATAACTGGGCAGGGTTGTTCCATAAAGTATGACAGAATGAATGAGTCGAGAGTATGTCTGTCAGGGAGCCAACGAGCAACAGGAGCAGATAACAACTAGTGTTGAAGTGCACCCTAAGTAGGAAGCCATGACAACAGCGGGAGATTGAAAGGCGAGAAGGGGAGGAGGAGGGGAGGGGGCAGGAGACGACGAGCAGAGGTGTCAGGGTGCAAGATAAAAGTGAGCATGAAACGAATAACTCATGGGACGCTAGTGAAAGCAATTGAACGAGGGGGTGGGTGGAAGTTTCTCAGAAAACTGGGGAGGGTAGTTAATCAGCCGTAGCCAAGTAAAGTGGGGGTAGGGGTACTACAACCCAAGCAGGGGTAGTAGCTCGTTTTCACTATATAACTGTTCTGCATCATTACCGTGGGGGTGGTATGTCGTGAATTTTGAGGAGGTGGGGATGGTTTGACTAGAGAAGGGTGGGGTGGGGTGGGGTGGGGTGGCGGGTGTGTAGTGACAGGGGTATAGAATACGGCCCTATTGAAAAATGAAAAAACATCGTTTCGTTCTGTTCGCTGTTGCAGGGCGCGTGACCATTTGTGTGGGGTACATCGAAATTAAGAGGGGTAGGGGTACCCAAAAGGTCTGCAAAGTTGGCTGATTGAGAGAAAAGTTGTACAGGTAGACATTTTTATATGTTCTATCAGTGAATATTTCGGCATACATAGTCTCTGGGCATTCTGATGAACCCCTCCCGATGGGTTTGCGATCATCCTGGGGACATGAGTCACACTAGTAGGGTGCTACTACCCCGCATCCAGCCAGGGATCTCTGTGGATACTTACAATGGATTTATTAAACACGACGGTTGGCAGAAAGGGCTGATAAATCCTGGTTCCAACATTGGAGTACCCCCTGGAATGATCTTGACTCGAGGGCGTGCCAAGTCTGGTGGGCGGAGGGAGCAGGGGCAAACAAGGTGGGGCTTTTGGTAAAGGAGCCCACACGAGAAAACACCGGGGTTCGAGGGTTGCAGATACGTATGCTCTCAGAGAGAAGGGCTCATGCCAGGCAAGTTCTTTTTCCAGGGGGTGGGATGGTAAAAACCAAAGGCTCTCTAAATTTTTAGCGCCGCCGAGGCTTCGACTACGGTGCCAGTGCCGGCCCAGGCTCAACTGAGGCTCCCCGGGGGCCTGCCGGCGCCGCCGCCGATCGTCGCGTGACTCCCGCGGCCGCCCGCCCGGCCGCCGGCGCCGCGCCCGGGTGAGGCCGCCACTGAAGCGCCCCGGCGGACTGGCCGCGCGCCGCGGCCGGCCCGTCGGTCCGGCGCCGAGATGGCACCGCTCACTCGGAACGAGGCTCGGATGCAGTGGCCCGGGTGAATCAAGTTGGGCCGCGGCCCGTCCGATCTGACGGAGAAGCACGTCACAATTAATGTGAGCCATGGACTCAGGGCCGGAGGATCGGACTCGATATTCGCGGCGGGCCACGGGTGTCGCAATCGTTGAATCCGAGTCGGATCACGGTAGTATGACACTCGGATAGCCTAACTACTAGGCGGCCGCCTCTGCCAGTGGTCCGATCGGACTGTCTAAAGCATGGGTGGGGTTGACAGTGACTCCCACCGTCGCGGCCCAGGCTTGAACTTCGGCGACCGTGTCGGTGGCACGGTGCCGTAGTACCCGGCACTGGCACGGTGCGGCGGTTGCCACACGGTGTGACGGCGGTTCCGAAAGGCTATCATGGCAGCCAGCCGTGATCGGACAGTGAGCTATGAGTCCTCCACAACGGCGGCAGGCTGGCCACCGGGTGCAGCTAAGTTTGCGAAGTTCTTCGCGGCAAACTTTGAAAGCCTGGCACAGAAAACCCGGAGGCTCAGGCATCTCATCAGGTCCGCCCGGACTCGGTTTTTGACATGCCATGACTTTGTGACAGAGTCTGTGCCCGGCCACCGGACCGGCGGCGGGTCAGCGGTGCCAGTGCCAGGTTTGAACCACTGTCCCTAGTAGCTAACATATTCATGAAAACAATTATGCGCACTGGAAATCAACCTACAGACTCGGACCGTACTACTCCGTGTCTGCTATATTTCTTTCAGGTTAGGGTCATGCTATCAGCGGCGAGTCATATTTCTTCCAGGCTAGGGTCTGTGGCATGTAACACGGAACAGAGCTATTGATGGAGCACGTATGCTCGCGGATAAGCTCAAATGAATTGATATGACTTTGTCTTTACTGTTACACTTTGCTGCATTATGATACACTTTGCGCTTTGGACCATGAATCCTTGCGTCTGCGAAGATCGAGAATGGTTCTTATCCGTTAGAGCTTGAGTACACCTCCCATCGCATCTAGTACCACCGGTCGCTCAGCCAGACTCAGCAACTCGATGCAATGTGCAAGAGCTCGTAACTGCCTCGTTCTATACTCTGGTAAAGAAATCTCTTCTTCTATCGCATCATCGGATGTCGAGCCCGCAGTCTTGGAGAGTCTTCCAGCAGATGGTGAAGTGACTGACAACAGATCAAGGCAATCTGAGATACAATCCCCTTCCCCGTCGCTCAGCAAGGTGTCGCTCTCCAAGTCTGAGAAGGAGAGTTGTTGGAATGAAGGCTGGAAATGCGCAACATCGGAGACCATGGCAGCAGCAGGTGCGGCAGGAAGGAAGGATACGAGGGCCAAGGAGGGACGGAACATATCACGAAGGGGGCCGACGTCAAGAACGGGTAGTTCTGTGGGTCATCGAGGAGGTGGGGGTGGCCGTTCCCTTTACTACAGAAAAAGCGATTTGTGACCACCCCACTTTCACAGACTTTCTGCAGTGCGGGGGCCAGGCTGGTGGGGGTCACCGTTTCTGAGTGATGCGATACGACCATCGCGGCTCATTCAACACGTATGGCGTGCTGACGTAAAGTGACGTGTTGTAAAGTTTTTCATGTGCTTCGAAACAGCTCGCTTCACCTCGGGCCAGGACCGTACCGTCTCGCAATCGCTGTCACAACAGTGACAACAGTGACTGAGCTGACTCGAACATAATGGTTTTCATTGCGGGTGCGTTTAGTGGAGGTATCATGCCAGGTACTGACAGTGCACGGACGGCCGCGGTACCGGCGGCCCCCGGGCTGACTGAGGGCCCGGCCGGGCGGGCACTGGCGAGGGCCGGGCCGGGCGGCCCGGCCGGGCAGTGCGGCATGCCGGACCACTCAGTACGGTGACTGCCCGGCCCGGCCGGGCTCAGGTCACAGGGGACTCGGCTGAGCCAGTGCCACTGCGGCACGGTGAGACTCAGAGTCTGAGAGCCGCGAGTGCCAAGATCCGATCCCGGAGTCCGATGCCACTCCCTCATCACTCGCCGAGGCTCAGCCGCTGGCAGGCTGCCACTGGCCCAGACGGTCCGATCTCGCCGCGCCCGGCGTACTACGGTACCGTAGGCTGATCGGATTCAATTTATAACTTAACTTTGAGTAAAACTGGGCCCCCGAGAGTGAGACGGTGGGCCGCCGCGCTGTCAGTGTACGGTACGGTACGGGGTACAGGCCCGGGTAGTCATTCTATAGTCAAAGTTAAGTTAAAATAAGTACAGCAGGACTACGGCACAGTACGACTCTCCTGATAGACCTGGTAATGATTTTTAACTTAACTTTGAGTAAACAAAGGTACGGCAGTACTTCAGAAGGGTCACGCAGTCAGATCATCCCGAGGCGGGGTTGCTATCTGCAGGGATCAAGTGCAGGGGGGTCGAAGAGGGGCCATGGCGCGAGGTGCGAAGCAAGCCTCGACACATGGCAGCAGATGCTCGAGGAGGAGACAGAGGAAAGAAAGAGAACATTGTCTGATGGATGGGTGTTTTCGATTCCGCTGGAGGTGCTCTGTGAAAGCAGGAAGAGGGAGTGCTTTTGACTGAGTGGAGATTGAGCACGAGAAAGAAAATAGAAATGCCAATATGCCGCGGCAGTACAAACTAGATGCAGTGGATTGTCCTTGCGATGTAAGTAGTGACAGACTCAGTGTTTGGCTGCCCACTGAGTGCGCTAGTTAGGAACTGACATGGAATTTGTGATACGATCATGATAAATACATCAAATTCACAATTTTTAACTGACTTTTTCGTGTTTTTTTTGTTTGCTGGAGAGGTCAACTGAACATTTTCTGATTCTAGGAATGAGACGCTCTTTAGTATCTATGGCTTTGGTGATCTTTTGCGCCTATTTCTTGTGCTATCCTTATGAAACTATACAGGCCTTGTCCAGCCTCCTTCAGCTCCAATCGACGGAGGCTTTCCTGAATTGTGGTCTTGTTTCTGCAAGGCAATCGATTTCTTCTCTGTGTCCCACTAGGAATTTGCAACTTTCGCTTCAGCTTCGCAAGGTCTGTACGCTCCATGAATTGCCCCTGGAGTTGATAATGAGATTTGGTTTGCAGTCTTCCACTTACCGGGTCCATCCTTTCAAAAGCACAATGTTGAGGATGAAGACAGTAGTACAAGACGGCGATGTGGTTGGAGGTGAATGCCTTGATTTCCCTCCAAGAAGTTTTCATCCGCAATGCAGTTCGATACAAGGGTACTTTGGACGATGGCTCAGTCTTTGATGAAAATCCTGGTACTGATTTTGTGTACCCACCGACAGATCGAAACGGACTGAATTTGTGTCAGAGGGACCTTTGCTGGAGTTTGAAGTGGGCTCAGGGAGGGTAATATCAGGATTTGATGAAGCTGTCAGAGGCCTATCTGTCGGAGAGAAGAGGAAGGTGAGAGTATGCTGTGCGAGCAATCAGAAATGGATGCAACGATCGCATGGGCGGTTGTCAACAGGTGAAATGACGGTTGTTGAAGGTCCGGTGCGATCCCAAGGATGCCTATGGAGAGTATGACGAGAAGAACTTGGCGAAGGCAAGTAGTTGAAATGTCCTCCATGTGTTTCCTCATGTTTCACAGGTTCCGAGGGAACAGATGCCAACCCCGCCGGAAGGGAACGACATCGAGCCAGGGCTCATTCTCCAGGTCCAACAATGAGATGTATTATGATGTTGCCCATGGATAGCTGATGTTGTCCCGTCTTCTGCAGCTGTCAAACGGACAGCTTGCTGTTGTGAAGGAAGTTACGGACGAAGTGAGTTTAGGGTTTAGGACTTTTCCCGGAACATCAGAGTTGACGCGTACCTGGGCAGGTTGTGATCCTCGATGGAAATCATCCCCTCGCAGGCAAACCTTTGAATTTTGAAGTCGAGCTCTTTGAAATCAAGGTTTGGTTTGTAGTATTGCAATTTGAATGGGTGACTCCAGTATCAGGACAGGGATGAGGTTTTGAGTGGAAAGATTCGGGAGATGTATGCGATCTTGAACAACGAGGTGTTTTCCAATCTTGCAGCCCAAGTCACGGGCAACCCAAGCTACGTGAAGGACATCAAGGCTAGGATTGAGAAGTCTGAAGACAAGGCACAGTAGCCTCGGTGATTGATGAAGCAACTGACAACATTGGGGAACAGGGGGTAACGATGAATCAAATTCTTCAAGAAGACGCCTGGATGAAAGTCACCTCAGCTCTCATGGTGGAAACGTTCTAATGCTCCAGACCCCCTTTAACATCTGTTTGACAGAGTAACGTTGACCTCCAAAGACAGATCGATCAGCAGCGAATGAAAACTGAGTTGGTGAGCAGAGTCTTTCTTGTGTCGTGGCAAGCCAAATAGTGACAAGCCTTTGTGACCCAGGAAAATAGCCCAGTCAAGAGCATTGAGTTTGACAGCGATCAATAAGCTACAATCAGGCACCGTACAGTTTTTGTTGAGTGAGAGTGGCAGTTGCAAGGCCCGACTCGCGCTGCGGTGCAACGGCAGTGCCGGGCGGCCCGCCAACTACTACTACTGCGCGTTGCCAGTTGAACAAATAGCTCAACTCGCCAATGGACCGTGGGCCGGCGCCAGACTCTCGCCATTCCGGATCAATATCTGGCTACTAGGCTATGTCTCCCCGCTCAGGTTCTCAATGATGGCAAGGCTTCCGAAGTTCAGCACTGCCTGAGATAAGTCGTGACTCAGTGAGGTTATGAGGCCACCGTTTCTCAGGCAGCCACAGTAAACTTCGGAAACTTATTGCCTAGCCAAGTTGCTGCATCCTAGCCTACTACGCCGTATCCGGGGCGGCCCGCGAGTTGGATTCCGGCGGACCGTGAGTCCGTAAGACCCGGCGGCCGCTCCGGTAATCGGAGTGTGACCGTACTGACTTGACCAACTTGCCAAGTTAGTCAGTGACGGAATACAAGTTTGTTATACTTGTACTAGTCCAAAGTCACGCAGATATCACATCGACCTTAATCTCAACAAGACAGTTTTTGCTCAAGACCGAGTTTAATGCACACGAAACCAGAATTGAGGAGCACATGAGAGATAGACTGTATGCTAGGATGTGAAACCCAAGCATCCAGACATGAGGGGACCTTAGCAAGACGGCTAGGAAGGCCTCCTCTTCGTCACACGTACTACATTGCCGCCTGCCACGTAAGTCGTTTTGGTTTACAGGAGAGTTTTTGTTAACTCGGCGCTATCTGACTGGCACGGCTGGCATACGCTCCATCCTCCCCCCGAGTTTCTGAAATAGTACGTTACATCGGACGTCAGAAAGTCACTCAAACAAGAGAATGTCAGCAGATCCAAGTCAAGATACGATGATACAACGTCAAGTTCACAGTCATGCTGAGTGGGCAATAACCATTCAAAGATTGTCCATTCAGAAGAAGATTTTCATGCAGGGCTATTAGATGTGCAGTGCAGAGATAAGGGGAGATGCCTGGCGAGCTGATGCAATGACGAGAGAAGGAGGATAAGATAAGAGAGTCTGAGGAGAGAATAACAGAGAGAGATAGAGAGAGAGAGAGAGAGAGCGTGCCCGCCGGCATTTGAAGACCAAAAGATAAATTTTTGAACCGTAAAGAACTTGTGACCAGAGATTGCTGCCGCGAGATTGGAACATCCGTTTCAAGGCATCTGAAGATTGTTGTGCAGTAGTACCTTGTTCGCCGATCCAGAAGTAGCTCCAGTTATGCATGCCACAGCCTAGCTCCATGACATGAAACTTCCGCCAGATCTCCTGGTAGTTCCATTTGATCCTACTCAAAGATCAAGAAGATTAAAATAAGAATCGAATCAGCTTCAAGTGCGTTTCCACACGGTTAAGCAGATATTCGACCGACCAATCTGGCTGGGGAAAGGCTTGTTTTTCCTATTCGAAGATCAATCAAACAAATTGAGGCTGAGATGAGAGGCCTAAACAACTTGCGGCTAGAGAGAGAGCCTGATTGAAGAGAGGAGTCATCCGAATGTGTAAGGCTTGATAGAATTGCATGAATTTTCAACAGCAACGGAAACAACACCAAGAAAGAAAAAACTCCAGTAAACAATTCAACTAACCAAACATAAGATCAACATGATTGAGCATGTAATCGAGGCTCATAACCGACGGAATACAAGTTTGTTATACTTGTACTAGTCCAAAGTCACGCAGATATCACATCGACCTTAATCTCAACAAGACAGTTTTTGCTCAAGACCGAGTTTAATGCACACGAAACCAGAATTGAGGAGCACATGAGAGATAGACTGTATGCTAGGATGTCTCGGAAACCCAAGCATCCAGACATGAGGGGACCTTAGCAAGACGGCTAGGAAGGCCTCCTCTTCGTCACACGTACTACATTGCCGCCTGCCACGTAAGTCGTTTTGGTTTACAGGAGAGTTTTTGTTAACTCGGCGCTATCTGACTGGCACGGCTGGCATACGCTCCATCAGTCAGCCCGGCCGCAACCGTTTTGAAGACGGTCGGACCGGGGCGGTCCTGCTACGCTTCGCCGCCGCCCAGTGCGGCCGGCGCCGGTTTCGAGTTCAATGGTTCGGCAGAGGAGTCCGGCCGCCGGGGGGCCCGGCCGGGCCGCCGCTCAGGCTCCGACGGCCGAGGCTCCGGCCGCCGGAGGACGGCCCGGGAGTCCGGGCCCGGGTCTCAGTGGAGTCCGCCCCGCCGCCGGCCGGGCGGGCACGCCGGGCTACGGTACCGCTTAGAGCCTACGGAGTACCGGCGTACCGTACCGTCGTGGCGTGCCCGGCCGGGCCGCCGGCCGGGCCGGCGGGGCGGCTCAGTCCGGGAAACTTGAAAGTTGAACTTGACGGCGATCACCCGACCGTCAGGTGCAACGGGCACCGCAACAGCGTAACGACCTAGCGGAGGGACAGCCGTGAGGTGTCCAGAGAGGTTTCAATGCACAGGAGTGGGGGAGAGGATGAGATGAAGAAGGGGCATGAAAGAATAGATGCCGGCAGACGAGGAGCTGATGCCAAGAGCGATGATGACTCTGCCTTTGTTGTCTTGCACCAGTGTGTTTGAGGGGGGTTGAGGTGCAACGTGGGCCCTTGATCACGACCGGGGGGGGGGGGGGGGTAGAGACGTAACATTGTTGTTGGGCTGGCTATCCATGAGCAGCTTTGAAAGATCTTGCTGCTGTTGTGCATGTGTAGCAGCGAAAAAAAGACCGAGGGAGGTTATGAGGCAATACATTGTGGCTGTGGTGAGCGGATTAGGTTTTGTTGCAGTCGGGAAGGTTTAAGTTGCGAGTCTTACCTGGAAGTTTATTTATGACCCAATGAGTACGTTCATGAATTCTGTTGGCGGCTCGGAGCGCCAGCATAAGCTCAGTACAGCCTCGAGAGTTTTGTTATCACTAGGATTTACTACGGACAGGATTGAACACGAGGCCAGTTTTGCCCTTCACGGGTGTTGCAATGAATTTTGACAAGGACTTTGGCAAAGTTTAGTTTGTTTTCCAAGTTTTTGATGCTTTGAAATTTTTCACCATTGTTTTGTCAGTCAGTCTCAACGCTGTAATCTCTTGGCACCGTTGACGCCACCATGTCCGATGAACTGGTAATGAAACGCTGCTGTGAATCAGAAATGTTTGGCCTGCTGCTTACCCAAAACCCCTCGCACAGGATAAGTCAGAGGAGGGTGTTTTCTTCGGAGACCCTCTTTCGGCTCCTCCTCCTCTCCCAGGTACTTGAGTCACAGCTCCTACATCTCGATCTTGACAAACTTGTCTAGACGACCCTCTCAGCGGAATGTCGGATGTGAACATGTCTTCTTGCCCTCGTGTCTTGTTAGGATTGTGACTCCACGCGCAGCAGCTCTCCGGCAGGCAACATTCCACCTCGTCCCTCGGCACCTCCTCCTCAGCAAGCTGTATCAACAGTCGATAGAGCGCATGGCTGCTTCCTTGACTCTTGCGCGTAGAGAGGTTCCACCCCTCCCCCCCAGTCCCCTTCCGACAGCAACAACGGGTGATTGCAGCGTGCAGTTCCCCCAGGCCTTCTGACGTTTTGCCAGCACTCCTGGAGGGGCTGGCCCGACAACCTTCCGTCCCATCACCGAAGCAGGTGCAGACACTTCCAAGGGTTTGCTCCTCTAAACCTTAATGGTCAGAGCGTGAGGCGACCTCTGTTCTCCTGCAACAGGTGAGGTTTGATGTCGACGCCGCACTCTTCTTGTGAGAACAGTCCTTTAGAGGGCAGCATTGAAACTCGGTGAAATGAAACGAAAAGAAACTATCGACTATCAAAAGGTTTGTTGTTCATGGTAGGTCGGGCCCAGTTGAATTTTGCAACCAGACCGTTGAAGACAAGGTCGTGGCTGCTCTTCAAGGGAGGACGTCTGCAGCTCTGCATGGTGAATCTCATTGGGAGATTGTAGATGGAATGCTTCATTGAAGTGTGACGTAGGCGCCAAGGACTTGCTCTCCTTTGTCAAAGGAAACGCCGACATGGAGGTCGCTCCAAGGTTGGATTGTTGCAGCTGATTCATAGCGCGGACAGGACATGGTTGCCAAGAATTTCTCACGATTTTCATCCTTGTTTGGTCAAGAAACTGGTTTGTCAGATCGGTTGGCGCAGGTCTGTGCAATGACAAAAGGTCCAGGCACTACTAATGATGCTCTGCTGGGATATAGCTCTGCATGCAAAAGCATGCAGAAATTGCATGCTGATCTGCAGGTGTGTTCAAACTCTATATTTCATCATTCGGTTTGTGATGATCCTGCTGGAAGAATGTGCTGGCCTCAGTCGAGGTGAAACGCGCTGAAGAATCTCTCTCCAGTGTAGATGAAACGTGCAAGGTAAAAGAAATCGAAGTGCGCAATTCGTTTATAGATTGCTGTAGAAATTAATGTCGCAAGCCAACACTATGTCTTCAGATTTGCAAGCTGCTCGTGACAAGGTGAGTGTGGATGGGCATACGATTTGATACTGACTGCAGCCACATGGCAGGTTAACAAAGCTTTCGCCGCTCAAGAAAAGGCTTGGAACGATTGCGAGGATGCAGCTAAGACGGACAAGGCTGTGTAAGTAGTCGATGCCTTTCTCGAACATGGCTTCTAATGGTCATTTTCAAGTGTGAATGTTGATGCGGATCCGTGGTTGGCCGGGCTTAGATATCAGGTTTTACACGCCAAATGGATTTTGTCCTTTAATTTTTTTTCTTTCAGACTGCAAGCAAAGCACTTGAGACCGTCGAGGCAGCACATGCCTCTGACCTCAATCGACTCGTCCAGGTAACGTCTTCAGTATTACACTCTTGTGATCCTCTTGGCGGTTGTCTCGTGGTTAAACGGTTCGTACAGGAACTGAGGTCTATGGATTCACAAAGGCTCTCTACTATGAAGGTAGCAGATGCATCACGACTCTTTCGGCTCCTGCTCACATGCTTGTTTGTTTTACACAGGATGTGCTTCGTAGTTATGCAGAGGCCCGGCGAGCTCTCCTGGCCAAGGCACTACAGGTAACCTTGACCGGCCGGTAAGAAAGGGATCTAATGGCTTGTCAGAATGCTGAAGAACTTTGCAATATGGTTGAGAAGATCGAACCAAATCAGGTCAATATCAAACTCCTTCCAAATTTTGCCTGATGATGCCGAAGGATTGTGATACCTTCTTGGCGTCTGCTGAGATCAAGGTACAGAGTGTTTTCCCTTCCGCAAAAATTTCGCTCTCTGTTTCTCCTTACCTGTGCTGTCAATTGCATGTCTAGTGCAAGTAGAGTAGCTCATTCTGCTTACATGACGCCGACCACATCACTAATGTAAGAGTAGGATGAAGAACTGGAGAGGGGTGGCGGTACTTCGGAACAAGTGAGTTTGTTTGCTGTTGGTCTGTAGCAGCTCAAGCTGTGCAGGAGGGAAGCAACACCTCTGCCGCATCGCTTGGCGTGTGGATTCCGGATGAGGCTGTCAGACAGGTGGTTTCTAAAGATCTTAGATTCTCTAGCATGACAGTTGATCAGTGTAACAAATGTCAACTGGGCTTCAACTTGATGAGAAGAAAGCACCATTGCCGCAGGTTTGTCCTGCTGCCTTTGCCGTTGATCAGATTTTTACTACCGCTGAGAGTAGATGCGGGCACGTGTTTTGCGACAAATGCAGGTGCAGTTTGTTGTCATTGTTGACCCTGTATCTGATTTAGAATAATCCTCCCAGTGCCCGGTCCTCAATCCTGCCGTCAAGCTTCGGGTTTGGTCAGACCCCACAGGTGTTGAGACAGGCAGGTTGTCATCGATCTGGTGACTGATCTGTCCTAAAAAGCGAGTGTGCGACACGTGTTTCGAGCTTTTGCAATCATCTCCTTCCACTGACTCGGCTGGTATGATGTAGACGAAGATGTTAAAAGGAATTGACGTTATTCGCAGTGTCAAACGTCCCAAGTGGGGTAGACTTTGAGGTGCTGAAAGAAGGCTCCCTGCTTAAGAAGGGAGGAATGGGCGGAGCTCACAAGGCAAGCGCCCTCTGCTGCTGGCCTTGGCTGATGCATGTGGCGGTAGGCGAAGCATTTTGTCTGCACGAAAGCAGGTTTCTTGCATTATTTCGACTCGAAGTTCGATCAGAACCCCAAGGGCTCCATCCCATTGAGCCATGCCAAGTGAGGAGGGTAGCCTCTAGCATCTCCGATTGCTCAGTACCTGCATGGCAGGATCTCCACGGTCGACGACGATGCGTGTGCGTTCGCCATTGAAACCGACGATGCTCAGCAGACAGCAGATAATCAGAATCGCATGCAGGTGTTGTCATCAGCATCCTCTTACTGGTTTGCTCTGGTTGAAATCCTTGACAGGCATTCTTCCGTGGCAAAGCAAAGTCAAAGTTTGTCTTCCGCAGTGCTCTCGGTCATCAACCACGCCCCCTCCCACTCTTGCTCACAGACCCATTGATTAGGTTCCCTCGATCGCGATGCCTGGATAGCTGTCCTCGTCAAATGGTGAGCTAATTCAGCACGTCCTGCAGCCTCTCGCTGATGTCTCATCCAGCTCCCGCGTGGAACAGGCTCCTCTTCAGACTACCTGCGTCCCTTAAGACGGTCCTCAGTCCAGCAGAGACGGTTGCTGATAATAGGCTAGCGGCTTCGTTGCCGAGAGCCTGACCGTTGAAGCGAAGTTTCGTAGCCTAGTGACGGCGAGACTGAGAGAGTTTGAAATGAAGTCTGCCGCATGGGATGCTGCCGGCACTGACAGTGTTCAACTGCCATCCCAGCCTGCATGCTTACGGATCGGACGCTCTGTTGCCCCGTCCGATCGCCCGTCCGAGTCCGGCCTGTCACCCGTCCAACTTGACTTGAAACTTGCCAGGCTCAGCGGAGGCTCGGGACTGGGACAAGTTGAACTGCGGAGGCTAGGGACGGGCGGCCCCGGGCACCGTCACTGATGCCTTAGTTATGACGATCAGCCCGGTGCCGCCCAGCGCGGCCCCGCCCGCACCCATCACGACTCATGGCCGGGCGGCCGGGGGCCGGGTCCCGGACTGGGGAGTGGCTCAGCGCGGGCCTCGTCTGAGCCAGTCACCGTGACGGTCCGGCGGGCCGATCATGCCGGCCCGACTCATCATTGCAGTGCGTTACTCCCGGCGGCCCGCCCCCCCCCCGGCCGAGCGGCAGCCCGGCACGTGACGCCGCGGGTCGGGCCACTGAGCGGCCTAGCGCTCAGCTGTCACGCTGAATAACCACTCTTTGTAACGGTAACTGCATCTGCGGGCAGGAAGATACACCGGTTCGAGATTTAAATATGACTTTTGATGGCTCCTGTTGTAAAATACCTTCAAAGAGGCCTCAGCAGCCTTTAGGAGCCTGACGCCCCTTCTTTGTTCACCCCACCCCTTATCTTAGCTGTAATCTTCAGTGAATGGACCCCTCCTATCATGCCAATTGCACTTCGAACTGTTATGGCTTGGCGACGTTTTTGTACCCTACCCTACTGATTCAGATTCTTGATCCAGTCATTTGGTGGGTAGTGTTAGACCCCCACGCCTCGTTGAGAGGACGCATCGGCTCGAAGCATTTAACAATGGTTATAATGTACAAATGAACCCACAGATGATATTTTTACAACAGCTTTGTACCTCACTAATCCAGTTTACGGTACTGATAAATACCAAGTTTATAGCTCAGTAGTGTTTGCAGTGTATATGGTGTACAAATTTTCAACTAGATCAATTGTACAATACTGTACCAAAAACAAATCTTAAAATAAATTGGTACAAACATGCTTTTTGCCTAAACCCGATTGAAATGGTGGTTGAATAGGCCACCTCATGTTGAAGCAATGTTTAGGTACTGGTCAGTATACCTGAGCTATAGAACCTCACCATTTTGATAGCTCTAGCACTAGAAAATACTGACATAGATTACACCTCCAGCATTTCACAGCACCCCTACAACCACTCAAATGAAACACCACCCCCAACACCTCTTGCTCCCCCGGTTGCGGGGTTAGTCCACGTGATCTAAAACCATTTTAATATGTTCTAAACTGAAGAATCCCTTTTTATCTGTACCAGACAGCTGTGTAAAACTTGTTTTAGCAAAAACTTTGTACCAAATAAAACATATTTAATCCTCGGGTTCTTTACAGCGCCAGGGAGATGGTCGCCAGAGGATTGGTCTGAACGCAGCAGCAGGGAGGAGGAGGAGTCAAGAACATCGAGTGAAGGCTTGCGAGATCTCTTCGAAGCTAAGAAAAGGATACAATCGTTTCATAGAGGACCACTATCTTGATCAAACATCTTGCAATCGTCGTTGCAACTCCTGGTCATTGCGAAGCAAGTTTCGAGACTTGATTCTTATTGTGTGATACTATATTTCATCTTATTCCCGACCTATCTCACCTGCGAAGCTTAAAATCGATTTCTTGAAGGCCACGTTGTATTCCCAGAATTATTTACAGAAAGAATGTCACTCACTATTCATCGCTCGTCAGGAGCTCATGTAATGATTTTGCTTGTGCTGTCATTAGCAAGCTACGCATCCTGTTTCCAAGGAGAATTTACGCCATCACCGATGCCTTTGAAGACTGGCGTCAGTATTCCTCTCCGCCCGGGATTGTCGGACGATTCATATGAAACTCACGTTGGACACCACCTGACTCCCTGCGCTAATTGTGGCAATGACTTCCATAGCACCAGAGCATGCCCGGACATTGTTCTTTTTCCAGTTGTCTTGAAGACGACTGTCAGTTTGCTGTTTCATCTATTGTCTCCTTTCCATAGCTAATTGCTCAATGAGCTCTGTTACAAAGATACTGTTGTAATATATGTGATCAACCAAAATCATTCAATGCTAGTTCTTGTCCTTTTTATTTCTCGATCTCAACTTCTTTTCCCCGTGCGAGGAAGGATGTAGCTCTATCACCTCGTATATCATTTGGATGTTTGCCGTCAGCTCACGTTTGCGACATGGCGCAACAAACACAGGAGGACTGTAAAATACAAGCCTTGCAAGTGCCGGCCTTTTCCCCATGAGAATATTTTCAGTATTTGGTAGAAACAGCATGGGAGGGTCCATGCTCATCTCTTGCGCGTCCCCATCAGCTTCTTGAGCGATTCATCATGTGGCTGCGAAATTCCAGTCATGGAGGATGTCAGAAGCAGGCAAGTTTGCTTCACCTGATATTCGTAGTCTTTCTCGTTGATAATCCTTCCACTTCCTAAGGCTGTTTACACCGCAGTCAGCTCAAGTTTACATGTGCATCGAGTACAGGAACCTTGCAAGAGGGCATCACGAAACAATCTGATGAGAGCAGTCATCTTTCCAGAGTATTCTCAACAAGGCGATTCTACCTCCCAATGACTTCATAGGCATCGGAGTCTTGAGCATCCTTGGTCCAGACCGCCACCCTGTCATGCTTCTGTCGCAACGAACAAACGGCTCCACAGATCTGTGCTGCGTCAGACAGATCGCAGCAGCAAGATGCCAACAATTCTCCACCTGGTCGGAGTCTGGATAAGTTTCACCCACCAGAGACAGCATCGTGTAAAGCCACATATCATCAACCTATTCCGATACAATTCCATCATTCACTATTGCGAGACGCGCACACTGGCTGTTGTCTGAAGCAAGACATTCGTTTTACCGTCTTGGTTGATCTTCCGCCATTTCTTTTCTCATTGTAAGTCCATTTTCCACCCTAAGGACAATAGTTTCCAGAATGGACAACTCCATTACTTCTGCTTACCTTGGCGTTGTGAGCATCTTCCCACATAGGCATGATCCCTTCACGGAAGAGATGGTAGTTACACCCAACAGGAAGTTTGCTTGGTGGAGGAATGTTGTTGATCGTTCCCTGCGGTAGTAAGTTCTCAACTGGGACATCTCATTGTCGTTTTTCTTCTCACCCAGAAGTCTTCAATCGTATCAAACTCACTCACTCGTTTCATGTTCTTCGTCAAAGTCAGAATGCGACACGCGACAAGGAATATTGATTGCCTTGGCCCAGTCATTTGCTCCACTCCTTCTGCCACTTTGTAGTGCACCATCAAACCACAAAATCCATCTAGTATGAGGTCATTCTTGGCTAATCAAACGTAAGACACAAAGAGAGTGGGGAAAACAAATCAAAGGATTCCAGCAAGCACATCAGACGTCATTTTCGAAACGAAAGTACTTGTGATGCAGATAATGTGGTCCTTCGTCAAGAAGCTTTTGAGATTCCTGCATATTTGTGTTACCACTCCAGTCCCACGAAATTCACAGTCAAATGAACGCAATCAAACTTAGAAGCAGCGTACAAAGGAGAAGTTAGTGAGAACTCAGGTGGCAAGGTAAGGTTCAAACATCAAGAAATGTTCAAACATCAAGAAATGTTCAAACATAAATCAAACAGTGAGCAACTTGCCTGATTCACTTCCTCTTCTGGAACCTCGCCCTCTTCCTGCGGCCAAGGGACTCAGCGTTAGCGTCAACAAGTCCCATTTCGTCATTAAAAATTATGAGTAAGATTTGCCTTTGGCATCGGCTGAAAAATCGTTCAATCCCTCCCCTACTTCTCATTTCTGTCTTCTGATCTGTAACCTCTCACAAAAAGTCCATGATGGAGCAAGTTCATATCTATGTGTATCCACTCTGTTACCTCTCATGCCACAAACTGTGTCGAACGGGATCCAGCCATTCAAGCCGAGATTGTGAAAATTCGTGAATTGCTCTGTGTAATCTTGGTGGTGCATAGTCACATTCAATACCTCATCTAACCATTTTCCATATTCTCCCTCTTGTCTTCATCAGTTCTGATGAATGCATTGAAATGATTCCCAAGTGGCTACTCGAAGCACGGGTTCCTTGTAGCTACTTCATGCCTTGTTTGCAGCCACAGGTCCATTGCAAGCTCAAAATGTTGACCATGACTACATGCCCATATCTTCAAATTCATCTCATTCACTCCTCCTCTCCTCGCATCTCCTCCTTCTCCTCCCCATCAGATTTTACCGGAGCTTCCTTCGTATCCGCCATGGCGCGTGCACTCTTACCACCCCCGGTTCCTCTGTATTTCGAAGGGTGGGGTGTGCCCATGACCAGGGAACAGGGAAGCAAAGCAGTGCTCACTTTGATATTAGTCTCTCACTTATACAATATCCTACCTTTACCCCCTAGGGTATGACCTTCTCCCAGTTCCTGGCCCTCCATGGCCATCACGGGATGGGCCCGGTTCACGGGCCTCCGAAAACTCCGAGCCTTCAAGTTCGGAACCCGGCGGTCACCAGTGACGCCGCCGGCCCGGCCCCCGGGCGGCCGGCCCGGCCCCGCGGCAGCCGCTCCGTGCCACGGTGTGCCACGGCGGCGGCCCGGCTGGCCACGGCCGGGCCGGGCGGCCAATCAGTCTGCTGAGTCTGCGCCGACCGTTACCGTCCGTCGGAAAGTTTAACTTACTAGCCGGGCTAATGAAGTATAGCGGCTGAGCCTCCGGGGGCGCCCCCGGGGCGCGGCCGGGCCGCCTGCGCCAGTGCCATTGTGCGGGGCCCAGCCTGGCATTGAACTCACTTGGTGACACGGTCACCGGGGACCGTACTACCGTATGATCAACCGTTTGGAACGGTAACCGGACTCAGTCTGCTGGTACGGTCGCCCGGGCCGGGACGCCAGCGGCTGAGCAGATCGGACTCCTCACCCGGCCCCGCGGCGAGCCTGTCGGCCCCGCGGCCCGGCCCCGGCTCCGGCCGGGCAGCCTCGCCTGGCAGCCTTCTGGCCTGCGGGGCCGGGTCGGGCTGAGGCTCGCACAGCGGCCGCCCGGCCTGGGCGCGGCCTGCCCGGGCTGGCTGCGCAGTCACGCGGCGGCTGTGCGGTTATTCGGGCCCGGCGTGTCCGATACGGTCCGATCGGAGCCTCCGCCCGAACTTACTAGCCTCCGGGCGGGAGTCACGCCGGGTGACGAGTCTTGACCCGGTCACGCCCCGGCGGCGTTCTCAGTAGTGTTTCGAGGCTCAGGCCCGGAGATGCGACTAACGGGATGGGGGTACGACCGGAAAGGGACAGGGGGCAAGGAGAGGGAGAGGGAGAGGGAGAGGGAGAGGGAGAGGGATCAAGGTTGCAGGAGAGAGGTATCAAGTATGAACCAACACGTGAGCGATATGGGGTCAATGTCTACATGGATCATGGCCTGACTCCTCTCCTCTCCTCTCAGCTTCCAGCTTCCCTTCCTCGCTCCAGCTCGACAGTTAGGAGCAGACGCAGGCCGATGTCGAGGGGTGAAGTCCCAGAGGATGCTGGGGGGGCGTGCTCGGCTCGTAGCTGATGCTGCAACCTGCCTGTGCTAGGATGGTATGGCTGCTGCTGTCATGATGCGAAGCATAAGTTCGTTGTCAGGCCTCGTTCCGACTTGCTGCAGCCCCAGCGATGGAGGGCGACATGCGAGCGGTTGGAATCAAGTCGATGCTGATCCATGTTAGCTGACCTCCCTCCCTCGCTCGCTCGCTCCCTCCCTCCCTCCCTCCCTCCTTTCCTCCTCCCCTCCTTCCCACCCTTCCCTCTCCTTCACCTGTCGCTCTTCCCTGTCTTCCCCCCCTCTCTCTCCCCTCCCCCCCTCGTCTTTGTTGTTCTCTCCGAGCAGGTCTTGCAGCTTCGTCGTTGCTGCTTGTCGGAGGGGGTGGTCGAGGGACTCTTAGCGAGCAGACCGAATGTGTCGGCGAGGACGGAGGAGTCAATGAGGCTGGTCTACATGAGCATCAGCTACCAGCTTCTGGTATCGTTGCCTCCCACCACTGCCACCACCAGCAGCATGAGTTGCTCTACAGGGAGTGCTCGCCCACCGTGTGCAGCAGATTGCGTGGACAGGTGGTGGTGGTGGTGGTGGTGGTGGTGGTGGTAGAGGAGGAGGAAGAGGAGGAGGAGGGGCTGGTGGTAGAGGAGGAGGAGGAGGAGAAGTGAGAGGAGGAGGAGGAGGTGGTGGTGGTGGTGGTGGAGGAGGAGGAGGAGGAGGAGGAGGAGAAGTGAGAGGAGGAGGAGAAGGTGGTGGTGGTGGTGGTGGAGGAGGAGGAGGAGGAGGAGAAGTGAGAGGAGGAGGAGGAGGAGGAGGGTGACATTGTGCACTGCAGGGAACTGGTCGATGGAGGAGAGGCTGGAGGATTTCGTAAGAGGGGTGAGAGAAGAGGAAATCTCGGTGATATGCATGCCAGGAAGAAAACTACGAGCATGACGCCAAGACTCGCTGGACCAGGGCAACAAGTCAGTTCCCTTGGACTGCCATTGAGCACCTTGACGATGGCGATGGCGCACGCCAGGACTTGGAGTTGTAAGGTGGAGTTTGCTCAACATCTTGACGAGATTCGTCCAAAGAGCATCTCTCGTCCGAGAAACTCTGATCTCCTGGATCGGTAGGGGACTGTTGAAGTGTTGAATGCTCTATCTTACTTTAACCTGTTCCGCATCCAGTCAAGTTTCCCGGATTGAAGCGAGTCGGGAGCAGCAACAAGTACCTCGGGGTAGAACAAGCTTGCACACGGAAAGAGAGCTGGCTCGGTGGCTGCTTGAAGTCGCTGAGAGAGGAGGAGGTTTAAGAGGACGTTTCACACCTCACAAGATGACAAGGCTCAGGTCGTGAAGCTGATGAATCGACTCGGAGACGATGGTGTCTTGTCCGCCCTCGGTGACTCCATATCACCTCTCTTCCCTCTCTCCCTTCCTTCCCTTCCATCCCTTCCCTCCCTGTCTCCCCCACCTGCTCCTTCTTCTCCCTTCCCCTCTTCCACTCTCCCTCCCTCCGTCCCTCCCTCGCCCCCTTTCTCCCCTTGTTCCGCCTTTTCCCCCAATCTTTGCCCTCGTACTCTTGACCTTCTCCTGCCCTCTGCGTCCTGTTTCCACTGCCTCCATTCTTGTCTTCTCGATGCCTCACTGTTCTCTACTTCTCTCACGTTTCTCCTCCAGGGATGAGCAAAACAATTGGAAGCGTGATGAAAACTCCTCCGTATGTTGGTGATCTGATACATTCCTTCAACAAGCCGCATGTTAGCGACATGGTGAGGCAGACTGAGCTTGTGATGCTGCTGCAGGAGAAGGACGGGAGGAAGATGACGCTGACGGTAATTGCGAAGGGATTGGAGTCCTGCGAGGAGAGATGAGACAGGAGAGAGGGAGGGAGGGAGGGAGGGAGGGAGGGAAGGAGGGGGGGAGGGAGGGAGAGGGGGCAGGAGGGAGAGGGGGGAGGGAGGGAGGGAGGGAGGGAGGGAGGGAGGGAGGGAGGGAGGGAGGGAGGGAGGGAGGGAGGGAGGGAGGGAGGATGCGATTCATTTTGAGTACAAGGTTGGAGCAAAAGCGCTAGCAAAACATGCAGTGAGATCATCAGACGGGTAACTCAGCAGCTCCTGCTCCTGCTCCTGCTCCTGCTCCTGCTCCTGCATCTTCTGTCATATGCCTCGTTTTTCTTTCCATCCAGTCTTCATCATCACTTGCACATTCAACTTCTATCTGCGACATCTGCTCGACTAGCTTGACAGTTTCCTTGTAGGTGGTGGGGTCAGATCATTGGGAATGACGCGAGCAAGAACCGTCAGGCTGAGCAGGTTGAGAGCTTTGTCTGCTTGCCGCCGCCGCCGCCACTGCTGCTGCTACAGCCGCCACTGCTGCCACTGCTGCTGCTACCGCCGCCACTGCTACTGCTACTGCTACTGCTGCTGTCGCTGCCGCTGCTGCTGATGCACTTCTGGCCCTGGGTCAAGTGCTTTTCCTTTGCTGACTTGATATGCTTCGCATTTGTCTCACTCTGCCTTCCCCCCCCTTTCCTCCCCTGCAGAAACTTGAGCAGATCTTGAAAGATGCCGTATGGGCTAATACTCACCTGCTGCCCAATGACATCGAGGTTTCCCCCTTCTCTCTCCTCCTCCCTCAAACTTCTTGTCATCCCCCCCCCCTTTGCACTTCTTCCCTCCTACCTGCTACTCTCTCCTCTTCTCTCTCCTTCTTCCTCCGCTCCTTCTCCCCCCTCGCTCCACTCTACCTCTCCTTTCCTAGCTCACCTGCTGCTTCTATGATATCCATCTGCTTGCTCCTTATCTCTCTCTCTCTCTCTCTCTCTCCTCCTCCTCCTCCTCCTCCTGTCTTGCTTTCTCTCTCTTCCCCCATACTCAGTCTCTCCAGATCTTCGAGCTCCGGGTACGCGAGGGCTTCGGAGCCCGATGGTCTGCGGACGGGAAGGAATTTCGAGGATTCCTGGAGCCTCTGATGGAGGACGGGCATGAGAAGGTGGAGGAGGCCAGGAGGGTGGGAAGGAAAGAGTCGAGTAGAGGAGGAAGAGGGAGTGAAAGTTGAGGCGGGGAAGACAAAGGAAGGGGGAAAGGGAGGGATGAAGGGAGTGTACGAAATTGGAGGCAAATCGAAGGAGAAGGAGATGGGAGGTGGAAGAGGAGTGGGAGTGGGAGTGGGAGTGAGAGTGGGAGTGAGAGTGGGAGTGGGAGTGGAAGGAGGAGGAGGAGGAGGAGGAGGAGGAGGAGAAGGGGAATTGAGTCAGCATTCTGAATGTCACACTGGAAGGGTTGGAGGCATTAACCCAAGGGCTCCCGATTTCCGTCCATCATTCTCACAAAGATGCATTTCGATGTCTCCTCCTCCTCCTCCCCCTCCCCCCCCCTCCTCCCCCCCCTTCCTCTCCTCTTCCTCATGCCCCTGCTCTACTCACATCCATGGAAAACCTTTGTGTTGGTTCCTTGAGCTCATGCGATAGGTGGTCCTTCTCATGTTCATATTCCCATTAAAGAATACCGCGTTCAAACAAGAAAAGAAACTCAACTTGCTATCAAACTCTCTGATCTGCTCTGTGAAAAATCCCGTCTTATGCTCTGTTTCCTCTCAAGTCGAACCCGAACAGATGGTGTCTTGTTGGCAAAATTTCCCCCCCTCCCTACCATCCTCCATGTTGACTCGTTGGAGTTGGGTTGGGCGCAGCAGAAAAAGTGGAGGAGGCAGAGCAGGAGCGGTAGGAGCACAGCAGAATATTGGGTACAGCAAGGTTAACGATGGGATGGGAGGGAGAAGAGTGATGGAGAGGTAGGGGAGGAGAGGACGATGGAATAATTCTTGCTTGCTGTTGTGTCAGTTTGTTTGTTTCCGGACAGTCCGAGACATCAGCTTCGTAACTTCTCGAGAAGGTAGAACTGTGAGATGCAATGTCAGCCCAGTCAAAGACAAGAGCTCGGAAATTTCAAGGCTTTCAACTCGTTGCCAACATGCGTTCGTGTCGGGAACGGGGAGGGAGGAAAGAGTATCGAGTAGCAACAAAACAGAGCTTGACGAGCGAGCAGTTTGGAGATTGATAGCGAGCGAGTGCAACGGAGGTATCAAGGGTGGAGAAGATCAGCAAGAACACACGTATGAGCAGCGAGGGACGTGGAGGAGGAAAGGGCAAGAAAATGTACAAGAGGAGAAGAGGAGAGAGGAGACCCACACAGAGATCAAAATGACAGAAGGAGAGGAGGGAATTAAAGACGGAGGAAGGATTGGTGCAGAAGAGGGGAGTGGCGGTTGGGACAGACAGTCAGAAATAGGAAGATGAAAGCGGGAGGGAGCAGACAACGGCACTGCAACATACCATGAATCGCGCGGTTGTTTCGATCTCCAATCAGCAAGTTGCCAGCCCCATCGGCAGCAAGACAGGAAGGAGATGCAGCGAGAAGGGAGGGGGTTCCCTCCAGGTCTATCGATCCCACCAGCCGGAGTGTGGAGGCAAACGTAACAATCCTCCTTCTCCTCCTCTCCACGACGACGATCCTGTTGCTTCCATCCACTGCTATCCCCTCGGCTTCTACTCGCTCCCCTCCCGCACACAAGGACTCGACCACCTGGCCGTACTTGCTCAGCACCAGGAGCGGCTCCTCCCCTCTATGGGCCACTAAGATGTTCCCTTCCTCCGTGATAGCAACAAGATAAGGAAAGCGAAGGCCGAGGTGGAAGGAGGAGAAAACTCGCATGACGCGCTGCTCCCTGTCGAACAGAACCACTCGGTGCTTGTCGAACTCGCCAAGCACAAAGTTGTCCTCCACATCCACAGCGAAGCTGGAGCAGCGGACGTTGGTCTCTTCCCCAGGGACTCTGAACGTGAACCGCTCCATCGGGAAGCCGCCGCGATGAAACATAACGATGTTCTTATTATTCGAGACCAGGATCTCTCCTCCCTCCCTCATCCCAATGCAGCCGACCTGGCTCAGCTCCCCGTACCCGAACTCCCTCACCAGCCTCCCCGTCCTCCGGTCAAAAACCTTTACCGACGGCCTTGCGCCATCCAAGACGAAGACCCCATCGCCATGGTTGTCCACCACCACAGACAGCGGCAACAACAGCCCGTTCCACGCGTCCATCCTCGTATGCTGGTCAAGGAAGCAGAGCTCTCCTACCTTCTTCCTGCTCACAGCACAGCTCGACGCCGCATCGCATACAGCACGGAGGATAGCGTCGAAGGAGGGATGCATACCCTGAGCTTGAAGCGGCGAGGACGACCCCAGCCGCTCATGCGCCATCATGGCCACGGCAACCTCATGGTCTGGATGGAGCCCTCTGACCGACATTGAAGCACGACCAGTACCCTCCTCTCACCGAAGACTGCATTGATTCGCTGTAGGGCGTATCCCGCCGCCGAAGCAGCAGGCAATTCCGAACAAGGTGATCATGATCATGATTCAGCAGAGAGACGCCTTCTTCTTGGATGTGAGCTACTACTGTCTCTGGTTCCCCTCGCATACAGCACCTCCTCCTCTTCCCCACTTCACTCGCACATTTCTTGCTGCCATCCCCGTATGAGGGCTTGTTCCCAGTTGTTCCCCCGAGCCCCGGTGCCCGGGTCTGCCTCGGAATGCACACCGACCCAGTTGAACAGGGGCAGCAATGTTTTCTCTGATGGATATTTTGATGCCTTTTGTTATGGTTGGGTCCGTGACCCTGGAGGTAATATATGTGAAAAGACATTTTATCAAGAACGTACTGTCATCCACCTGTGTATCTCGCAATCCTTGCGCTGTAAAACGATGTAATCAACGGACTCAGTCCTAAAAGTAGATCTCTTGGAGCTGGCCCTCTAAAGATACAGTAAACCGCTAAAAAACATTTCAAAGGGGTTAAAACACTTGTAGTTACTAAAAGCAATTTAAAACTCAGTTTTTGCAGGGTTTGCTCCTCCTGTTCCCCAACCAACCACCCCACCCCACCCCACTCCAACACAGGTATCGTCGAAACGATGGTGGACCCTCACAACCCCGATAAATCCCCTGTATCATTGTGATGCTTGCGGGGGTGGTGGTTTTTGCCTTCTTGTTGAGTAAACTACCGTGACGAACTAGTCGGGATATACCCCCCCCCCCACAGATATAATCCATTTTTTAATCCCGATACAAACACTATCATTGGTTCCAAAATACCTCGGAACATTTCAATTTCTCTGATTGATTTGTCAAGACTCCACTCAAAAATCAACAAATACATTTTGACTCGTACATATTGTTTTATCCATACTACCCACCGGGATAATATCAGCGTCCCTTCGGCTGACTTCTTGTTTGCCTGTCTGATACCTCCACCTCTTCCAACGATTAAGAAGATGAATAAGTGATTATCCCTATCCTTCTTACCTCCTCCTCCCACAGCCGACAATCATTTCCTTGCTCTATCCACCCCTGCCACTTTAATTCCACTTGGCAGTATTCCTCCTAGAGACCATATTCGCGTCATAACACCCTCCTAGGGTATGCTGACATAACCCCCACCCCCCACTTCCGTATAAGGTCTCTCTGTGTCTATATCCATTTATATTTACTTTTAGACAGTATAGAACTTTTTAAATCGCGGTTATTCGCTCCAGCCACCCACTCTTGTTTCAGAGACCAACCCTTTTTCGAAACTACCTCGAGGACCCCCTGAAGTCGGTACCCCTTGCGCTTCTCAGGAAACCCTTGGGATGACTACCTGCTTCATCAGGGTAAAAAGTACCGGTGATATTACTCTATATTGGACATTGACCCTACATTTCATAACCCCACCCCTCCAACGGTCCCAACTCTAGATTATCTGCAGACTCCACCCACCCTTTTTCCTAAGACTACCTTCTCGGGGTAGACAGAGGGTGGGGTGGTCTGCCTCTCTCGTCCTCCTGCTTCCCTCCCCTTATCGCTCCTTGTTTTCGCCTCTTCCCCTCCTCTTCTCGTCCTCGCGGTCCCTTGAAACCCCAACACCTCCTCATCTTTCTTGTATTCGACCCCTCTTCCTTCATTCTCCGGAATTTTTTCGCGCGCGCAAGCTGGTAAGAGAGTGATATGATGGTTTGAGGAGGCAACGGTGATTCAATCGTGTTTGTGTCTGCTTCCTCGAAGCAATCTTGTGCTCTTCCTGTTGCAATGGCCTTGCGCATTCGTTGAAAATCACCGCCTTTTGTGCTTCCCCTTGATTCTTCCTCTTTGGAACGCCTCAGTGTCTGTGTTGACCTTGGCCTCCTCTCGGCATCCATATTTTGCGCTGCAACTTTGTAGACTTGGATCCTGAGTACCTGTAAAACAGGCTTCTGCGTCACAATTCGAGGCATCATTACCTATACCACAGCTGTCTGCTGCTGATTGACCCTACTGTACAATTTCTTTACCCTTACTGCTGAAATGAGAGCCAAGTTGCATTTTGTTGTCCCACGTAGGAAGCGTGGTGAGAGTAATTTCCAACGCCAAGACCCCATTGGGCTGGACAGGAGCGCCATACAGAAGCTGTTCCATCTCAGACAGAAAGATGCAGCGGACCACCTGGTATTTCATCAAGTTTGGGCTCGATCTGTCACCTGAAACTTTGATGGCAGGGTATATCGCTCACTGCATTGAAGAATGCTTGCAGGGCCTTGGGAGTGAATCACTGGCCTTACTCGCGGAAGAGGGAAAACGAGGAAGGACATTCGGCTGATGCACAGCAGGAGGATGGGGCGGGACCGTCCGGGTCGTCATCTCAGCCCATGAACATCGACCAGAACCACACTGACTCTCATTCGGACGGATCTGACTCAGAGCACCACGAGGAGGAGCACGAGGAGGAGGAGGAAGAGGAAGAGGAGCAGGGGCCTGCTATCACCTCTCATCATGTCAGATCGGGAGCTAGCTCCCTCCCCCTGCCCATGTTAACCCGGCGAGGCGACGAATCCATTCAGATTCAAGCAGGACGAATGCTGTCTGGATCTATGGCCTCGTTGCTGTCCATGAAGAATGCTGTTGAAGCGCAGAATGGCTCGTGGATCTGTGGACCTCGACTGCCGGGGCAGGACAAGGATTGGATCAACTGGTTCATGAAGACAACGCCTTTGGAGGATACCGGTACGCAATTTGATAGAGCTCTAATCATGGTGGAGGATGCGAAGCCGCAAACGGAGCAATCGTCTTAGCTGATCAGTTTTGTACGTTCGATTTTCTCGGATGTTCAATGGGATCTGTAATGTACAAATAAACTGATTTTGACTTTGTTGGGACTCGAGGAGCTGAATTGCCGAATACGTTGTAGCTCATCGACGTAGGAAGCTGTGGGGCTAACAATCAAGTTGTTGAACTTGTCGTGTATGTTGTATGATTGTTGGGTGGTGGAAGCGTGAGAAACGGAGCAAGCAATCGATAACCCTATTGATTAGGTTGTGTTGTATTACATTTGTCACAACTTTCTTAACCCAAGGAAAGCTTCAGCGTCTTCATCGCCCTGCACTCACTTGAATAGGAACAGCAAGAGAGACAGAGGGGAAGGGAAGGAGTAAGGGAGAAGAAGAAGGGAAGGTGTGAGGGAGAAGAAGAAGGGAAGGTGTGAGGGAGAAGAAGAAGGGAAGGAGAGGAGGGGAGGGGAGAGGAAGGACCACCTGGTACGCGATGGCGATACGAGCACGTGACGGGAGTGCAAGGAAGTCAATGTGAGTGAGGCCGGTGATGTTGCTGAGGAGAAAGAGTAAGGGAACGTGCCGTTGCTGCCTCACCTTGCCTGTTGGTGAACCTGCCCGAGCTGTGTAGCCTCCCCCTCCATGTTGTTGTATGCTGCAACGAAGATGAGCAGATAGGACTGACAGTCTGCTGTCAACCTGGACTGTGGGGAGATTGTAAGGATCGGCTCTCCGTTGACTTGCACCTGATGCAGGGAGTAAGAGCAGGCAGAGTAAGAAGCGATGAGAGGAGAAGATGAAAGAAAAGGGGGAGAGCGAGGCAGGAAGGTGGTGGGAAGGGATGGCAGGAAGAGGAGGAGGAGGAGGAGGATGAGGATGAGGATGAGGATGAGGATGAGGATGAGGAGGAGGAGGAGGAGGAGGAGGAGGAGGAGGATGAGGATGAGGATGAGGAGGAGGAGGAGGAGGAGGAGGAGGGAAGGAGAGGAGGGAGGAGAATAAGAGGTGAGGGTGTGTGTGGAGGGCAGATTTAGAACCTTGACAGTGGGCTTCTTTCGGCTGAAAATCCCCAGCTGCAAAAAGAATCCACGAGTCAAGAACGATACTAAAGAATAAGGAAAGCAATGAATAGAAGAGGAGAGGAGGAGAGGAGGGGAGAGAAGGAGAAGAGGAGGAGAGGACCTGTATCTCGTACAGTCCAGGTGCATTGCAGATGATGAAAGACTTGTCTTTCTCCCAGACTTGTGTCGCAAGTACTCTCAGACTTGACTTCGCCTCCTCTTCCTACTCACTGAGGTTTGTTGGGTCGGAGTTTGCAGTCTGAATGTTCCAGGGGATTAGACCACCGTTCTGAAGTGAATCCAAAATGTCAGCCTGTTGTTGTGTTGTGTTGTGTTGTGTTGTGTTGTGTTGTGTTGTGTTGTGTTGTTATCGTGCGATGTGATGCGGTACTTTCTATGATTCTGCGCTTGATCTACTTACTTTTGTCTTGAGAGATTTCCATATCCATCGGCCAAGGCAGAGCTGCAGAGGTGCGAGGTCAAGGTCAATCCCAGTAGTCGCCCAGCTCTTGTCTGACCTCGGTGATGAGGGCTGAGTTGAGCATGACTTGTTCATGCAGCGTCGAAGAGATGTCGGCCATAGATGCCTGCCAACGCAATGAACAACATCATGTGAACAAACAGCATCATGTGAGCAAATAAATGGCATGTAATCAAAGGATGTCATGGTGAAGTAGAGGCAAAGAGGAGGTGAAGGCGGTAGAAAGTTCGATTGGTTGTTAAAGATTTCGATGAGTGTAATGGAGGTGGTGTTGATGATGAAAGATTTCAAATAGAATGTCAGATGGGAAACAGAACAGAAAAAAAAGCGAAGATAGCAATTAAGACGACGATTGCGATTGTGATTGTCATTCTGTATCTTGATTGTGTTTGTGATGCTGATGAAGACGAAGACGACGTTTATCGCTAGCAAGAAGCAACCTTGAGACTCAGCTGTCCATTGACATCCAGCAGGGCACGATTGACCTCCGGACGAGGAGTCAGAGGATGCGACAGGGCAGGGAGGTTAAACAGCAAGGGAAGAAGATGCAGGCAGCGAGCAAGAACAACATCCACCTCATCTACATCCGCCTTTGAGTCGATCAGCAAGTTCACTTCCTTGATGTCTGCCTGCAGCAACAGCAACTCAGCGTCCCATGGAGCAAGACGTGCTGCTGACTCACCTTCTTTCGCATGTCTCTCTTCAATTCTTCCGTCTCCGTCAGGCACTGGGGGCGCGAGGGTTCAGCGAGCAGCAGGGAGGAGGGAGGGCCCCGAGGTCGAAAACGGCTTGCCTGCTCTATCCTCCTCATTGTTTCCATCCGGTCTGCTCGCTCTTGAATCTGAAGCCACCCGCGCTATCAGGGAGGGGAACACGTTTGCGGGAGGGCATTGAGAAGTAAGGAGGGGAAGAAGAAGGGGAAGAAGAAGGGGAAGAAGAAGGGGAAGAAGAAGGGGACGAAGAAGGGGAAGGGGAGAGGAGGAGGAGCTGATTGGACATGAAGGAGGGCAGGGCAGCAGGTAGGATACCTCCTCATCAAGATTCTTATACTTCTGCTCCATCTCTTTGTGAATCCCATCCATCTGTATCACCGTCACCTCAGTAACCAGCGACGTCCCACCATCACCATGGAAACAACTCGCTGTAGAGATTGCTCCTGGATCGCCAGGCTCTCGTCCATGGCGTCGTATCCTACCGGCTATGTCATCGTCCAGTCAGCCAGCAGACATTGGACGCACCGATCTTCTTGTCCAGAGCAGATTTGTCCGCCTTGATGCTGATTTCTTTCTCCTGTGCAGAGAAGGAGAAGGAGAGGAGGAGGAGAGGAGGAGGAGTGGAGGAGGAGAGGAGGAGGAGAGACAAGTAAGCTAGATTTGGAACGATTTGGCTGTTCTTACCAAGTTGTCAAGTATTCTCCTGTTGAAGGTTTTCAAGTTTTCGATCCTTTCGTCCAACTAGTCAACATGGTCAGGAGGGAGAAGACTTGAGAGTAGTCAAGGGAGCAGGAAACGAAGAGGAGGAGGTTTGAGGAGACAGACGGGGAGGTCAACAGGGTGGAAGATAGGCACCTCCGATCGGTCGACTTTGTTTGAAAGTGCCTTCAAGACATCGTCTCTGATCGAGAGTAAGGGTCCTGAAGTCCAAAAGCGGAGGAGGGGAGGGGAGGGGAAGGAGGGAGAAGTGGAGAGGGAGAGGTATGGGAAGGGGAGTAGGAGGACGAAGAATGTGTCGGGAGGAGAGGGAGCGAGTGGAGAGAACAGGGAGAGGAAAGGAGGGGAACGAACTTTCTGGCAGTCTGACTTATGTACGAGTCAATCTGAGATCAAGTTAGCTTCAACTTCACATCTTCACTCCTTTCATCACCTCTTGAACTGTATCCATGAGCCGACGCTCGAACTAAAATGTACACGTGAGGAGGGGACGAGCGAGAAGCTGGAAGGGAAGAATGCAGGAGAAGAAAGGAGCGGAGATGGGAGAGGGAAGGAAAGGAGAGGATAGAAGAAAGAGGAGAGAGGAGAAGGGGAGGGAAACAAAAGGCGGAGGGAGGAGGCAGATAGGAAAAGGTAGACCTGGTCGCGTGCAGCTGTGATCTCGGTTTTGATCTTGAAGCCCAACGAGCTCTGAAAGGTGAAAGTTGAGCAGAGAAACACAAAAATGTACGAGAGTGCTCAAAGTTGTCTTAACACGTCAAGATTCACAGACGTGAACACCCAGAAACATGAGCATCTACAAACTTGCACATCTATAGACATGATAATATCTTAATGTGCTAGGGAAGGATCAAGGAACAGACAAATACTCACTTCTACTTCGTTCATGTCCGCCTTACAATCTGCTCTCATCTTGGAGATCTGATAACAGCAGTTACTGTTCTAGTCCCGTTCATACATACACCACACCTGCTGCGCGTACTCTGCGTTGTTCTGTGAGATTAAAGTCTGCAAGCACATGGTGAGGAAACAAGAGAAAGCTCGGTAATTTCTCACCTTCATCTCGAGGAGAGACGTCGAGCTCCCTTGGTGAGTGTTTGTTAGCTGCGAGACTTCCCTTGCCTTGTTGCAACATCATGGTAAGAAGTCATCGGCATGATGGAAATCAAGAACAAGGTGCTATGACAACGAAGATGAGGAGGAGGAGGAGGAGGAGGAGGAGGAGGAGGAAAAAGAGAGCGAACGTGATTGGTTTGCGTATTACCAAAGTCTCCATCTTCATCTGCAAGTCCGAGGACTGCTTGTGAACACTGTTCAACATATCAAATCTTCTCTCCTCGTCGTGCTCTGACACTCCTCAACCTTGTTTTGCTCGCGTACATGTCACTGTCTACCGCATCGAGTCTCATCGACAGTTTCGAGATGTTGTCATTGTGCCTGCGATCATCGTAGAGCAAAACTCAGTCACAACCCTCGAAGTCAACAGCATTACGGTTCACAATCAACAACTCCAGCATCATGGTCAATGCCATCATCTCCTCCTCCTCTTCCTCCTCCTCAGCATCATCATCATTGTCATCGTCAACAACAACACCGAAATATCAACATCAAGGTCGCTGGAAGATAACACCACGATCTGTATCCCACCTTTCATTCACCTCCCTGATGCCCTGATGTTCATACCGCAACTCCGTTTGCAACTTCTTCATCTAAAGTGAACAGTCACTTGACCGGATTCCATTGCAGTAACTTTCCTCGTCCATCATGTTGTTGATTGCCTTGTCAAGGGTCGCATTGTCGACTTTGTTGTACAGGATCTGCAAATCAAAATCGTCACCAACAGCATCATCATCGTTGTAGCAACAACAAGAACAAAAGCAACTGCTGCTGCTAATAATCTCCATCATCGTCAATGTCTCAAATGACATGTGATCTCAAAGACAATTCCCATCACTGTCATCGTCGTTACGAGTTTGTTTGCACTACCTGTGCCACGGTACGATGAGGGCCGACAGATCCAAACTTCTCCTCGAAGGGAGAGATGTCCATTTTGCGCAGCAACTGCAAGAACAGAACACAGTAAAGTCTCCCTCACGGTCATATTCCTCGTCACCTGCGAAGTGACTTCATCCCTCAGAGCTCTTCTCTCTATCTCTCGGCTCTGCTCTTCAAGCTTGCTTGAAAGATCATTAAGATGCTTCTCAACCTGACATCAGAGTCATCGCGACCGAGCCAATCCTGACTTCTCTCGTTGCAACCTGCGATCTGAAACTCTCGATCTCGTCCCTGTCATTTCAAGTCACCACCCTATACAGTGAAGTATTCCCTTGTGTATGGTATATCACTGTCCTTCCATCGTCTTACCTGTCAGCTTTCCTGTCCAGTTCAGACGTGACATCGGCAAGGCTTGCTTTTCCCTTGAGGGCAGACTTCTATGCGTTAGAACGTGACACCACGAGCCAAGACAAGCAACCACGAACAACACCACTAGCATTGTCCCAACAATCATCGTCGTCGTCGTCATCATTATCATATCATCATCATCATCATCATCATCATCATCATCATCATCATCATTGACAATGCATCTTCGACATCAACATGGCCGTCATCGTACCCATGGCAACTCCACACCAAACATACCTGAACTTCGTCTCGGTCCGGTTTGTTATCAAGATCACCCACCAACGCTTTCGTCTGTTCCCATCATCACTATCATCGACAAGAAGTGCTGCAGTAGAAGCAGCACGAACGGACAAAGGAAACATCGCATTGATCACGAGCACAACACAGCACAGTCTTCACCTCGAGTGAGTGAGCGATGTCTGAGATGCTTCTGTTTACATCTGCTATGTTTGCTTTCCGTTGAAGAGCTGCCTGAACTCAACAAGTTATCTATCCCCCCCCTGCCCGTAGTCAGTCCCCCCTCAATCCCCCTTTCCACTGCTCCCTCCCAATGTCCGGATGCCTTCCTACTTGTCAACCTCCTCCTTTCCCTCGCACTCCTTCCTTCCTCCTCGCATGCTTGCTGTCCTCTCTTCACCTGCACGTCTGCACTAGAGGCCTTCCCTTCAAGCTGGCGCTCCAGCGACTTCACAGCGTCGCCCTTGACACCGCAACCAAGTCAGCGAGCGACAAGAAGACATAACAGTCATCAGGCAGACAACATCTCAGCAAACTTCACCTGAGCCTTGATCACATCATGCAGCGCCTTGAAGGTACTGCGGATAACGTCTTGGATGTTCCTCCACTCATTCATTCCCTGCATGCCATACGGAGGATCAGGAGGATCAAGGAAGGAGCATGGATGGTGGAGTACGAAGAAGACTGATAGAGAAAATGGCGGAGGAGAACGATAAGGAGAACGAGAACGAGGAGGGGGGAGGGGAAGGGGGGGGGGGAGGTGTGTGAGTAAGTTTTGGAGTAGGTGTAGAAGCGGGAGGACGAGGAGGACGAGGAGTAGGAGAGGGAGGAAGAGGAGGAGGAGAATAGGATTGATGAAAAGACGAGGAAAAGAGGAAGGGAGACGGAAATGTCGGAGTTGGAGGTTTGGGGGGTGGGGAGAGGGGGGCAAGGCACCTGAAGGAGGTCGTCGACCACTAGACTTCCCGCGTCTCGTCGACTTGCTGAGAATGACCTGCACGATGCGATGAGCTATGAGAGCATGCTGCAATGCCGTCCAGTCGAACCTGTCGGATCGCAGGGGAGACGCATCGTGCGGGGGAGATGACATGGTGTAAGGAACAACGATCGGGTGCCTGTGCAAGGGGAAGGGAGAAGATGAATATGCGAGCAAGGAGCAAGACGAAAGCTAAGTCAGTTCGTCGTGCAAGAAGTTTCAAGTGCAAATGGAGAGCAGGGAGAGCTGTTATGTAGCACTTTTCTCCTCACTTTCTGCATGTGGAACATGCTCCCTTTCTCTCTTCCTCTCTGCCCTCCTCTCTGCCCTCCTCTCTCCCATGCTCTGCTCTGCTCCCTTCCTGCATCTCCTCTCTAATGAAGTTTTCCGCTTGAGTCCACCAGAGCTCTCAACGGTCTCGACTCATTCAGCACACATCACCACCCCACCCCCAAATTGAGCCCTTAGAGGCGCCTCAATACAGCAGCGGTTCGTACATGGTACATTTTGCGAAAGGGCACGGGTCATTTTGAGTCCTTGTTGCCGAATCAAAGAGGGTGGGGTAGAGTTAAATGAGGGGGTACGAGGGGGCCCTTAGAATGACCTGGTTGGTCGTACTGATTTTTAACTTAACTTTGAGTAAAGAAGGTTGGTCGGGTTGGTCTGCTGGTTGGTCGCATCGGGATGCAGTGCATGGAGGAAGAGCGAGAGGAGGAGGAGGAGGAGGAGCGAGAAGAGGAGGAGGAGGAGGAGGAGGAGGAGGATTGATAGGGAGAGGAGGAGTGAGAGGAGGAGTGAGAGGAGGAGTGAGAGGAGGAGGAGCGAGAGGAGGAGGAGGAAGGGAGGGGAGGAAGGAAGAAAGACGGGAGGGGAACGTAGGAGATGTGAAGGGTGAGGCCGAGGTTGAGAGCGTGTCTGTGACTGCAGCAAGGCTGGAAATGCCTGATTGGCGTTTGATTGATAAGGAGTAAGGAGACATTATGATGCTGACGAGTTGAAATACGCGATCTGGTGCAAAAAGCATCCAGCAGGGACTAGAGGAAATCATCGTAATGATCGTGATGAACCTGTATTTTTATGATGTCATTGGGAAAAAGGTGAACTGTTTTCAAATCTGACACTCGAATCTCCAGCACCTTGTCGGGGCTCTGCATGTTGAATGCTGTTATGGCGCGAGTTGAATGCTGTTATGGCGCGAGTATGTTGATGACCGTCTGAAACTCTATCAAAACATCTACTGAGAATGAAGCATTTGCTGCTTCTGCTCGTCCTTGCTTCGCAGGAAACATGCTGCGGTCTAGCTGCTGATACGCTCTTTGTCTCTACCTCCACATTTTCACCGGGCAGAGCAGGGACATTCGAAGTGAAACCTCCCTTGACTGTGCCAGCAAACGCGGCGGCAACATCAGCAGCAACAGAGCATGCAGACGAAGTGAGTGACGCAGAGACGGCAGTATGCGAGCATGCAGTGGAGCATGTTCCACTGGCCAACGCTCCTGTGAAGACGAGTGATTGGTTGCGAGGGAACGTCGTCGGGGGCTACTCGGCCATCATTGACGTCAGAAGCCCGTCGGAGTACCAGGATGACCACATCCCGGGCTCTATCAACCTCCCGGTGTTGAGCGATGAGCAGCGTCATGAAGTTGGTAGTTTCCTCAAGTCCTGGCCCCTTGACCTGTGGCTAACGCGTGTCATGCGGCAGGAAAGCTACATCGAGCCGATCACTTCGCCGGTAGGAGGCTGGGAGCTAGCCTCATCTCAAACAATATAGCAACGGTGTATACGCAATTGCTGCGCATTCCTTCTTTCCTCTTGTGTCCCTGGCTCTATTTCTTAAGCTTGTCCTCTCTATACCTTGCCCGCCTCTCACTTAGCCACTGCCTCCTTTGCCGTCCCCTCGCCCCATCATGTCCGTTCTTCCTCACCTCAGCCTCACTTTCTCCTCTCTCACGTTCCTTCGCTCTCTAATAGACGTTTTCTCTCTGTCCATTGAGAAGTTTGCTTTCTTTAGATCATTCAAAATTACTTCATGGACAAGCCAAAAGTAAGCAGACAGAGTTTAATCCTGTGCTTCGAAGCTGATTTTTTGCAAGGATTGGAGACCTCTAATCTACTGCTGGCGGGGAGGACAACGCTCGAACAGTCTAGCTTATGTCCTTGCAATGGTTGTCATTATACATTTCGCACCAGCCTGCCAGTTGATTGCACTACAGATAGGTTACAGAGTCTGCGTGCTTGATAGAGGATATCTGACCTATCGGAACCACATTGTAAGTGATGATTCGCTCGAATAATCTCCGAATGACTTTTGTGTGTATCGTTCAGATCTCACAGATTTCATCTTTCTCTGACTGCATCAAAGCCAAGGTGATCACGGGTCCAACTGGATGTGGAAAGACCAAGTTGCTTCACTTCCTTTCATCCTGTGGCGAACAAGTGGGGTGTCTTGCTTCAACGCTTTGCGTCTCACTTGATGTCACTACAGATTCTCGACCTTGAGGGTCTTGCAAACCACAAAGGTGGTTGAGAACTCCCAAGAAAGTTGTGCCAGTATTTTGAGTATCAATGATGCTACAGGATCGATCCTCGGGGGTATCGACCTTCCTCAGCCCCCCCAGAAGCTCTTCGAGACAAGAGTTGTTCTCCTTTCTCTCCTCCTTTCTCCTCTCACTGGACGTGCAGATCGCACAGGTGATGCGAACTTTCGACTTCAATCGCACAGTATGGATTGAGGACGAGGCCGCCACGATCGGAAAGGTTGTCAGTCCTGTCAACTGTGTATTGGTGGCCTGCGTGTTTCCTTGAAGAAATGTTTTCCTTTCTCCTTTTTGTGACTTTGTATACCTAAGACAAGAGTGCGTTACTCTTGGCACGCGTTGTCTTGTTTTGGAATTTTTGGTTATCTTGTGATTCGATCTCACTGTTCTGTTATCCCTCTCGTTTCATCGTATTCAAGTTCTCACAATTGTTTATTTTCTTTCTCTGCCAGCTGCATATCCCCAGGAAGCTCTGGGAAGCGATGCTGTCATCTCCGAGATATTTCGTTCGCCTTCCCTTCAACGAGCGGGTAGGCAACTAGTCGCAGTGCCAGCAAACAGAATAGAGGCTGAGCTCTTGTACTGGTCTAGAGGCAAATTGATCTTTGACACGCCTCAGGTGAGACATACTCTTTGCGAGTATGACGTATGGACAAGACGACCTGACGAACTCAAGGTCTGTGAGCCTTGTATGCTCCACTCCGAATCCCCCCGGATCTGCTCCATCTCCTTCTGTCCTTCCCATACCTCCATCTTCTCCTTGCCTCCCTCGACTCTTCTTCTAGCATCCCTCTTGCCCTCTCTCTATTGACCTGCTAACGTGAAGATTCATAGAAATCTCTTTCCAAGCTGATTGAATTCCATGGGCGTGCGCGTAAGTAAAAGATACACGTGATCTCTAATACCAGAGGAGAAGCAGGAAGCGAAGAGAGGGAGTGACGAGGGATCAGCTCTGTCTCGCGATGATGTAACGATCTTCTGCAGGATACGATCGCTGGTGCTCGCTCATCGACTCACAGAACTTCGAACTTCTTGTAAGCGCGAGTCCTGTCGCGCCCCTCCCTCCTCTCCTCGTCTGTTCACAAGGAGGACAGTCACCCGCTCCCTTGTCGCAGGTTGCCGAGCTACTAGAGAAGCACTATGACCCTGCAAACTTGCGGAGCATTCAAGATCGGATCACGAAGAAGCATGTCTTGAATGAAACAGTCCACCTGACCTCTCTCAACATCGAAGACCTTGTAACTGTTTACCTTCTTACTTACTTTCTCTTCTCATCTCTTCTTCCTGCAGGACAGGGAAGCTCGGGTCCTTCTGAGCCAAAACTGAGTGCTCCTCCACACTCCTACTCACCGAGTCCCATCCCGACCCAACATATTCCTTTCTCCCCGTCGCTGCCGCCTCCTCCTCCCCTCCATCTTCTTTTCACCTCTCCTTTATTTTTCTTTGTCCTCAACTCCCTTGCTCCATCATAATTTTTCCACGGCACTTCAAAAAACCTCCCTCCCTCCCTCCTCCCTCCCTCCCTCTTTCTCATCATAGATAATGCTCGTTTGTGTAACTTCTGATGTTTGTGTTGAGCCACACCGAGGGCAAGTCCGTCATTGAAACATGCATTCTCGACCTTCTTCCCCAGACGCTGCTAGTCCTGGATGTAACATCAACCAACTTGCACGCACTGATTCAGAGATCACATCTTGAACACGGTCAGGATGATGAAAACAACAGCCAGGAACCCTGACACCATCTGCCACAACAAGCGTGAGAAAGCAGCACGAGCAGACATGTCTCAAGTACCCTAGCCCCTGCGAACAGATCAGCTCGCACTAGTCGAGCTAGACTGAAAGACTTGTCGTGCATTGCCAGGGTCAACTACCGCTGCAAGTCAGACCTCCGGCAACCCAACACAATAGTACGCTAAATGAGATGCGCCGATCGTCTCCCCGGCCGCTGATAAAGCACTCGTGCTCGCTACCGACCGGATGATCCTCACTGAAGGCAAGTTCCCTTGCTTTTTCGACTTCGAACCCGCCATGGCGGGAGTTGAAGACAAGGCCATTCTTCCCAGCTTCCCCTTCCACTGTGACGTTAACCACTGCTCGCCAGAAGTCCACCCCTCCCATCATCTTGTGCTCCAGCTCCCTTGCTGACACTCTGCATCGCCTCTGCATGATGCCATGGTTGTAGCTGACGACCCCGCCATTGCTGACGCTGGTAGGCACATCGGGCATCGATGGCGTCGGACGGCAGTGCAGAGTAAAGAAACATCGTCAGTGTCTTGCAGAGGAGCTGGAAGGAGATTACAGGTTGAGGATGATGCTGGTGAAGGAGCAGACAACTGCTAGCATCATCGTTATGCCGATGTCGTCCATCCTCCGGCTAAACAACGGTATCCTCCCCATCGCCATTCTCCTTCAGCGCACTACCAAATTTGCCACCATCACCTTACAAAGATCTGCCCTCATCTCCACTCATACAGAAGGCTTGAAAGCCCTCATTCAGCCCGCACTGCCGACCCCGCAGGGTTCCCTGACTGCGGCTCCATGGTCAGGTATGCCGGTCTCGTTGGAAGGGCGGCGATGCTAGTGGTTGCGATGGCGGCTATGGCAGCAGGCAAAGGCGACGATGAGGTCAAAGAACTTCCTGGGTGGAAGGTGAGGAGGATGGAGGAGGATGGAGGAGGGTAGATAACGTTCAAACTGTTGTTCGCGAAAGTTTGTCCTGGGTTCCCTGAGAGGAAGGGAGATGAGATATATGTCGAGAGGAGAAGAGAATAAAGATGGGGGGGGTGGGGGGTATTAGAAGAGGACAGGAGAGGACAGGAGAGGAGAGGAGGAGTAGGTGTAGGAGAGAGGAGAGAAACGGAAAGAGAAAGAGACAATATGAGAGACGTTTTCGAGAAACACGTAGTGGTACAGAGGGTGGGATCAGTAGAACAGCCCAACCATGATGACAGCAACAACTGAAACCGTGGATGGCAGGGACCCCTTCCCAGCCGATGGTTCTCAGGATACATTGAAATCAACGAGAACATGCGTACCCACTACGTCTATGTGGAGAGGGAACCAGTTCCTTCCTCCTCCTCCCCTCCTGCCGATCCTCCTTCTCCTCCTCCCCTTCTCCTGTGGAGCAACGGCGGCCCAGGAGCATCTTCCATGTTCGGCCTTATGACAGAGATCGGCCCCTTCATGCTCAGCGCCGAGAGTCTCAAGACCAAGTCCTTCCGCAAGACGCGGATCCCCTCTCTTATCCGCAACCCCTTCTCATGGACTCGCTTCGCCGACCTGCTCATCTTCGACTCTCCTCCTCCCGTCGGCTTCTCCTACTGCTACCCAGCAGGACCTGCCGGGCATGGCGATTCCTGTGGAGGATGGAACGACACGAGGACGGCGCAGGTGAACTACAAGGCACTGAAGGGCTTCCTGACCCTCTACCCTCACCTGCGCGTTCGTAAGCTCTTCCTAGCCGGGGAGTCGTACGCTGGCGTCTATATCCCGACGCTGGCTCGTGAGATCCTCGAGGGGCAGGAGGAGTTCGCCATCAACCTGCGAGGGTTTGCTGTGGGGGACGCATGCGCGGGAACAGACGTCCTGTGCGGGGACTCGTTCGGCCCCTTGTGGGAGGTGGAGTGGCTCCAAGGGCACCAGCAGTTTTCACGCAGACTGTACGATGAGGTGAAGGCGACGTGCGGGTACGACGAGCTGAAGACTGGGAACTTGTCTGGGAGCTGCGAGATGGTGCTGGGGAAGATGGAGCAGGAGGTCGGGGGCTACTACGAGTACGCTCTCTACGATGACTGCATCTACGACGATGCGTTCCAGCTGTGGAGCTGGCATGCGCTGCCGGGGTATGTGAGGAGGAGAGGAAGAGGAATGAGGAAGGCCTCTGCTCGCGGAGCTCTGAATGACTACCCTTGCGGTGCAGGAAGGTGAGAAGAGGGGAGCAGGCATGGTTCTTGCTTGTTACGTGGCTGTTTCCTTCCCCCTTCCCACATACGTTTCCTCCATTCCATTCCCTTCTTCCCGCTGCTTCCAATACCAATCTTTGGTGCAACCTTGTATCCGTACCAGCATCTGCATCATCCTATCTCGATGCTGCCCCTTGCTCCTCCTCACCATCTCCTCTCCTCACCCCCTCCCTCCCCCCCTTTACCTCCCAGTCTTATCTGATGCTACGACGAACAGAGCTCTTGTACTGTGGGTAGAGAATACGAAGGTTCGCAAAGCCCTACACGTCCCACCCTCCTCCTACTTTTTCAACGCGGACAATGGCGATGGCTTCAGCTACCTCCTGACCGAGAAGTCGCTGATCCCGTTCTACCGTGACGTCGCTGCCGGCCGATGGGGCCGCATGAAAGTGCTGATCTACAATGGTGACACAGACCCGGTGAGGTGAAGGAGGGGGAAAGAAGGTGGGGGGGAGGGGGGGCGAGTGAAGGGGAGAGTGAAGTGGAGAGTAGAGGGGTAAAGCAGGAGAGGGAGTGCTAGGGGAGGAGGGCGAGAGAGGAAAGGAAATCCCTGCAAGTAGCTGAGAAGCCGTGCCGCAGTCCATCAACACTCTTGCAGCTCAGAACTGGACTGTTGCCTTGAGCCTTGCAGAAGCTGAGAGCTGGTGAGAAAAGCTTCCCCTCTGCTACTCCTCTCTTCTTCTTCTTCCTCTTTCCTCCTCCTGCTCCTCCCTCCGCCCTCCTCCCCCCCTCCCTTTCCAGCTTCCTCCCCTTCTCTCCCTGTCTTCTCCCTCCTCTGGCTCCTTGTGACTTGTCGAGCAGGCGCCCGTGGACGCTCGACGGCTGCAGGCGCATGGGAGGATACGTCACGCGCTATGCCGGGTCCTTGGACTTCCTGACCATCAGGGGAGCAGGGCATATGGTCCCCACCTACAAGCCAGCAGCAGCCTTCTCAATGATGAGGTGACTAGTCCTACCTTCCTGGTCCTCCCTCCTCCCTCCCTCTTCCTCCTTCCCTTCTCCTCCATCTCCCGCTTGCCTCTCTCTCTCTCTCCTCGCCACCTCATCTCGTTCTTCAATGCCTCATCTTTCGACTCTTTTTCTCCCGCTCTATCTTCCTCTCTCGTCCTTTCGGCCTCTCTGTGTGCCTCCCTCCTGTCTACCGCCGCTCCCTCCCTCTTCCTCCTTCACCTCCTCTCTGCCTCTTCCTCCTCGTCTTATCTTATGCTCACAAGCTCATTTCAGCCGCTGGATCGAAGATCTCCCGTTCCCAACATACAATTCATCATGTCAGAAGCCGCCGCCAAGTAGGAGAAGAGTGAGGACAGCAGTGATAGCATGAAGCAGGGACACAGAGGAAGCAGGCAGGGAGAGACAGGGCGGAAGGAGGGAAGAGGAGGAGAGTTTCTCCTCTCTATCAGCTGCATGATGTGTTGCATAACACTTCATATGTATGCCAAGAGTTTTTAACTGTGCGACCCTTGAAGCGCGTTCACCTGCTCTAGCTGCTTCTCCACCTGCAAACATGGTCAAGTTTTTTTTCCCACCCGGCTCTCTTCCTCTGTTCCACACCCCAGTTCCTTCCCCTAACTCATTCCCCCACACCTTTCATCTACTCCTCTCCTTATCCCTATTCACTTCCGATGCCACCCGGCTCCCTCTCATTCCTCAGCTGTCATCTATGAAGTTGTTCTCACCTCCTCTTGAGCCTTGGCGATGTTCGCAGCTTCTTCATGAGCAGAGTGTACGGCAACCTGTTGCTCCTCCTCCATTCGCTTCTGCAGGAGCCATCTGTCAGCGCAAGAGCAAGAGCAGCGATCAACGCGCCTGTCTCTTCATCTCCTTGGCGAGGGCAGAATGATAACTTCCGTCGTCTTCATCCTCGTCCTCTTCCTGCCTTGTTCCCTTTGCAGCCTCCTGCTCATCGTCTTCGCTCCTTCCCCTGCCTCCTTCTTGATCGCTCAGAGTCTTTCCTTTCATGGCGAGCTCCAGCTTCGCCTCTTTCAGCGCCACTTTCTCCTCCTCCAGCGTCCGCTCAAGTCGCTTGTTCAGCAGGTCCGTCGTCTTCGCCTTGTTCACCTCATCCTCCTTCTTCATCTTCTCCCGCTGCAGCTCAAGTTTGAGGCGAGAGATCTGAACCTCAAGCGCCGTCCTCCGCCCAGTGATGCCTTGCAGCTTCCTGCTGGCCTCCTCGAACTTGCTCGACGACTGCAGCTGGGCCCCTTGCGCCTCTTTGAGCTCGCGTTTAAGCGTGTCCACCTCCTCCTTCCTCATCTTGTCCAGCTGAGTCTGAGCTCGGAGGTTTGCAGCGGTTGCCTCTTCGAGCTTCTTGGACGCAAGGACATGAGCCTTGGCTGCCGCCACCACCTGAGCCTGAGCCGCATGGAACTCTTGGTGGAGCTGGTCGATGTGCTCCTGCACCAAGAGCATGCGATCTGAGAGCTTCCCCTTCTGATGCTTGGATGAAGAGACCTCCTGCTTCACCTGCTGCCGGTCAGCTGCGCGCATGCCGCAAACACAGCTCCCTCACCTTCCCCAGCTGTCGCTCGGCCTGATCTACAGCCTTGCCGTCTGCCGCGAGGATGTCTTTCATCGCCTGCTTCCCGTGCTCCTCTCCCCCAACCACCTTCTTCAGCACTCTCCTCTCCTCCTCTCCTTTGTTCCCAGCCAGGCTCACGCTGGCTGCGTCCACCACGTCCTTCGCAGCCTGCCCTGCCGCCTTCACCGCATCCTCCCTCTCCCCTATCGCTCGCCCAAAGTAAACTTTTGCCGCCCTCATTCCCGCGCTGGCCTTCTCTGCCAGCCCCTGAGCCATGGTGAGGTCCAGCGCTGCCAACGACTTCGCCTGCAGGTAACCAGCGAAACGTCAGGGGCGGGGAGAGAAAGTGGAGGAGCGGGCGGGAGAAGGAGGAGAGTGGAGGAGGAAGGAGGGGGACAGAGGATGGAAGGAAGCTTGCCTGGGTTGACTTTGATCGATGGAGGACAGTGTTGCTCTGTGCATCCATCTTCTTTGAGTCAGCCAGGAGGACAGCAGCTGGCCTCTCCATGGCGACTCCTCTCTCCTGGTTGGCTTCTGACAGCATCCTGTCCCTGATCTGCTCCAGTGTCAACTCGGAGTTGGCAGGCGACCGAGGAGCCTTGAGGGCTCTACCTCGCTCCGCCCCTCTGAGCGCGCCTTGTTCACCAGCTCCGTGGCTCGCGTAAGGGTTGCCTGCTTGTCCGAGAGCTGGAGGACAAGGTGACGTAAGCGCAACTGGAAGCAGGAGGGAAAGGCTCACTTTCAAGTCATCCTTCTCGCGGAGCTTGTCGAAGTGATGTATCGACTCATCGGCCTCCTGTGCTGGACGTTAGGACGACAGAGACAGCAGGCAGATCGCTCACCTCGAAAGATGACTTGAGTTGCTTCAAGCGCTTCTGAGAGTCGGCGATCTGTGCCTGAATGGAGCGAACTTCTCCCCCAGCCATGATGAGAGCGTCTTCGGTTCTGTGCAAGCGAGATCAGGGGGGGAGCACAGAAGATGATGACCAAGGGGGAAAGAAGGCGAGACGCCATGCCGGCAAGTTTGAGTTGTGGCGGCGCGAGTGGAAAATTGAGGAGGACAATGATCAGCAATGGCATGCAGTAGTGGAGTGAGATGGAGGAGGAGCATTTACCTGCTCACTAGCGGGCTGGTTTTGAGCATTTCCTGCTCCGCCTGCCCCAGGAGAGGGAATGACTTCATTAGCAACGATTGCGACGACCGTGAGTTGCTCACCTTAGCAGCCTTCGCTTCCTCGGCCTTGAGGGGATCATGCTCCTTTGCCTTTACAAGCACAGCACAGCACTGAGAATACATCAGCACATACTCCCAGTGACCTCACGCCATTCGAATACCAAGAGGAAGCACAGGCCAAAATAACAGCCCTGACGACGTCTGACAAACATATTGACTTCGATCCTCGCTTCAACGCGCAGTGCCGAGCAACTCCTGCTTGAAGGGCTTCTCCTCCTCTATCGCTAGGAAGTTCACTGCGTGCTTTCGTATGCTCTGCTCCCCCGGTCTGCCTCGTCTCACGCCTCCTTCCCGTCCTCACCGAATGCTGCACGCCATGGCGTGTTCTGACTCTTGACGAGGGAGATGGAACGAGGAGGGATGAGGTCCACAATCATGAGAATGAGGGGGATGAAAAAGCTGGTTGTGAGGCCCGGACTCGAGGGTTTTCATTTGCGAGCAATTCAAATTTGGGCGGGAAATGTTCAATTTTTGCATAGCGTCCTTCAACTTTGGACTACCCCTTCATTTATCGGGATTCTTGTTCTCAAAGATGGGGTAGGGGTCTAAAGACAAAGACAGATCCCGAACAAGTCCACCTACCCACCCTAGATGGCCAACCACCACGTAAGATCTTGCTCGTGACTACCCAACCCCTGGAAATCGAAGGGCCTCAACTGTACCCCCCATTTGATAAGTCCATTACCCAAAAAACCACCCCGTACTTTTAGTGTTCGTGACCCCTTACCCCCCACTTTCGTCTTAAATGTATATTTCATACTTTTTCTTTTTATCCCCCGGTCCACCCCCCCACCCCGAGCATACGACCAACCCGGAGGGCCGGCCCACCCTACTGACTTGTGATCGTACCCCCACTTAAAACCCTCGGTACCCACCCCTTGTAGCGGTCTGAGATCCTTTTTTGTGAAGCACCCTTTCCATAAGTTACTTTCCTGTACAAATGACCAACTCAGCAAGATGAAAGGTGGGGTACATGACCCTACCTCACCAAAAGTTTGGTTAGCGCGAAAAGTACTCATATCACAAATGTACAACAGCTACGCCCTCAATAGGACACATGGGTCACTAGGAAATAGGACCTATCCACCCCCTCCACCCTTCCATTCATGCAATATACCCACCCCCAATGTACAAGAATAAACCTTCGACCATCTACCTACCCGTGACTCGGTCCAAGGTATATAGAAACAACGGGTCCTCTCTACTCCATAACTACTCCCTTCAAGAGACTACCCCTACTCCTGTTTCACACCGAAGTTATTTACTACCTCTACCCACTGTCGTTGAATACCCACCCCCAAATCCTATGCTGTTATGTTTGGTACCCCTGTGCCGGTGATACCACCCACCCTCAAGGATTCATCTCGTAACTCAAAAATTGGTACCAAATTGATGTACCCGTCCAGATCAAATCCACCCCACCCACATCGAAGGCAAAATTCGCCATTCGTGCTACTTTGTTGTCCTTGTTTGATCCACCCCACCCCTTTGAACATAGTCCACCTACCCACCCCTCTTACTTCCTTGGGGCTGCTCAACATGGCTATGTTGCTGTTGTGGTTGGAACACGAAGGGACGTAGAGGAGGTAGAGAGAGTGAGAAGGGTGGTGGAGAAGCAAGATTCGTCTACTGTGATCGTTCACACTTGACCTCTCATTCTCGACGCATTCCAACGAATCAGAGTAAGGCTTCTTAGTCGAATTGCAGCTGAACATCTGTTAGCTCATGTTGATGAAAAATCCATTTCGTGGGTTTCAGAACCACTGGTTAGATATGACGGGGAGCCCCTTATGTTTGATTTCTGTGCATCATAGTTTCTTGATGTGTCGTGATGCATCTGCATATGTTGGTAGATGAATTCTTCAATTCCCAGATGCTTTCGGAAGATTAACTGGTATGTTCGCAGGCAAGAAGAAGCAAGTTGATTTCAAGGAGTTGTAGCAGGGTAGTTGGTGAACGAAGCTATTGCTGCCTCAAGTGACGAACGTTTCAATCTGGATGTCATAGAGCCTCCCAGATCGGTAGAAAAGCCCAGAAGAGCTTCGGATTTGACTCGGTCTGCGCCTACGTTGCAGGAGTCTGGCAAACCAAGAGTAGAATGTCAAGGAGTACTAAAGAGCCTATGTCACCCCCGGCAGGGAAGAATGGAGTTGCGAGGGCCTCGAATTTCCCATCGTTCGCTAGATCGTTCGTTTCTCTGTTGAGAGGGAGCGGAATTAGGAAAGATTTCGACGTTGATGAGGAGATTCTTGGGCGTGGACGGTTTGGGATCGTTTTGAAAGGAAAGAGGCTCGCAGACAACAAACCAGTAGCAATCAAGAAGATCACCAAGAAGGGAAGGGATGCGAAGGCGATCGAGAAGGTCAGGAGCGAGATCGAGATCATGAAACGAGTCAACCACCCTAACTGCATCACACTGTATGGAGTCTATGAGTCCTCCAACCATATCTACATCGTGATGGAGCTGGTCAAGGGAGGAGAGTTGCTCGACCGCATCATCAGCAAAGACCATTACTCGGAGATGGAGGCGGCCCGCTGCTTTCATCAGATCATCGCGGCCATCCACTACCTCCACAGGGCAGGCATCGTCCACCGAGACCTGAAGCCAGAGAACATCCTGTATGCGGATCGAGACTCAGATGCAAACATCAAGATCGCCGACTATGGTCTCTCGAAGATGTTCGAGGCAGGCGAGCTCGCCAGCGGGCGAGCAAGGATGCTCTCTCGATGTGGATCTCCCAACTTTGTTGCTCCGGAAGTGCTGAACGGAGGAGGCTATGGTCAAGAGTGCGATATATGGAGCGCTGGAGTGATTCTCTACATCCTTCTCTGCGGATTCCTTCCTTTCGATCAGCAGGAAGTGCACGGGCACAAGGAGAAGATGTTCCTGCCTAAGATTGGGCCGCTGGACTTCCCAAGACCATACTGGGACTACATCTCAGAAGAGGCTGTCGATCTGGTGACGAAGATGCTTGTCATCGAGCCCAAGAAGCGCCTGACGTGTGAGGAGATCTTCATTCATCCGTGGCTGCAGAAGTTCCAGGAGGGCAAGTTGCACAAGGACAGCATGCCGCAGATGCAGCGTATCCTCAAGGACAACTTGTGTGCAAGGCGACTTATGGGTGCCGTGTACTCGCTGACTGCCATCCGTCGCATGAGGACAGACCTTGACTGGGACTACATGCACAAGGTGATGAGAGGGATGGCGGCAGAGTACCTCGCACAGATCAAGCTTGATCCGGAACGAGAGGCAGAACTAAGAGAAGGTTTCAACCTGCTCGATCGCGATCGTTCGGGAAGAATCTCGATGGAGAATCTGACAGAATCGATGAGAGCGCTGGGACATTACAAGGGAGAAGCTGAGATCAAGGACATGCTCAATCGCTTCGACATCTTCCAGACAGGAGACATCTCTTTCGAAGAATACTGCATCGTGATGAGTAGTCACGATGCTTTCCTACACGCTGGTTGGGCACCTCAATCAGACAACTCAGTCCCTCCGAGCCCGGAGCTTGTTGGTCGAACCTCGGTAAATCATCTTCGCCGTAAACTTGCAGCTGCTGACAGCGATTTGTAGCTTGATGGCCGTTACTTCGACGATTACAAGGAAATCTTCATGTGATCTTTTAAGCTTGTTGATGGAAGATTTGCTGACATTGAACAGGTCGATGGATCTCGACAACTCAGGAGTGATCGATCCTGCCAACATCCGCGAGGTGGAGGGGAAGGGAGACTCATGCTGAGCTAATCTCTCCTGCGCAGGTCCTGAAGAGACTCGGCTCAGAGGTGACAGAGGAAGAGGCAAGGAAGATGATCGAGATCGCTGATATCAAGAATAACGGTGAGATGCTGCTTGTTCTAGTCGTCGCGTCTGATGTCAGCCTCAGGCGTGATCGAATTCGACGAGTTTGCCGAGATGATGAGCAAAGGACAGTATCTCATGGAGAGTCCTTCCCTTCGCCCGATCGATCGGGTGCCGTCAGATCGAAGTGGAACAGAAAGGAATGAGATGGCAAAAGACTTTGTGTTGTGAATAGTGTACAAGAGTGAGATGGATCAAGATAGACACGTAGGGATAGAGGGGCGGGAGAAGAGTTAAAGCAACTGATAGATACAATTCCGTGCTTTCGTTTCACAAATCGAGGCTGAAGTTTTTGAACGAATTTTCCTTCGGGGTTGTAATTGCTAGCAATTAAAGGTGATTGAACAAGTGTTCAGGATAGATTTTTTGACATCTCTTGCAAAACCTTGAGCCTTGTCTCCCTGTTTGAAGTCACAACATCTCATGCGAGGCCTAAGATGCAGTCGCACCTGGGGGCTTTGAAGAACTTGTCGAGGTATCGGTGGAGGGGCCATTTATCGAATTCTTTGTCTCTGTCCTTTCGTCATCGCCGCCGGCTCCTGCCTCCTGCCTCCTGCCTCCTGCTACCTGTCTCCTCGATGCGGCGGCTCCACGATAGCTACATCCTGCCATGTTTCACGTAAGGCGGGTCTTGACAACAAACACCTCCCGCACCCGCGCTTGAGAATTCTTGTAACAGGTGTTTGATGGGCATGCAAAGATCGACTTGGAGAAAGAAAACTGCACGCATGTCGTCACGATCCGAACCCCCCCGCTCATCCAGAGACCTTGTTCTCATCGAACACAACCTTGGCATCCCTCATGCACCTGGGCAAGTGAGTTGGGCTTGACACCAGGATGACCTGCAATGAGATCCGGTGAGTATCAGCGGCTCTCGTCCTCGTGCTCTCAAGACCTTCTGGATCTGCTCGTTGTGCATGATCTGACCGCAGAGTTCCAGCTCCTGCACCGTGTTCAGCGACCTGGTCTCCGATCGGCAGATCAGCCTCATCGTCTCCTTGAGCCTGCATACCAGGGTGAATCGGATGAGGAGGAGGCGGAGGATCGAAAAGACCGCGCAAGGTCAGCCTCCTCGAACTCCCTGAAGTTCTTCAACCGCTCGAAGTTGTCGAACATGTACCTCATGGTGTACTCTCCCTCCATTACCCCATCGCTGCTCTTTGACCCCCCGGTGCCGAACAGCACCATGTCCGCTCCTTCCCGATGTGCCACAAGCACGGCCTGTGGGATTCGGCCGAGCTCGTTGGTTTCTTCTCTTCCCCATGCTATCTCCTCCCATCCCTCTGCTTGCAGGTGGCAGCCATGCACTAGCACTCCCGTCCTCTGTCGAATCCCCCAGCACCCTCCGCAAGAGGGCAGCTCCTGGCATGCGGGAGGACGGAGATTCTCGCCGCCGGACCAAGGTCGTAGAGGAAGGCTACCAGACTGTACAACGTCTCGTCCGCCGCTGACAGCATGCGAGCTCTGGACCGCCAGGAGGCAAGACAGCAGCAGCAGGTCGACTGGTCTCATCGCCCATGGACGAGACTCTAGTCGAAGGGTACCCCCATCCCCGCCATGACCCAGTTAGCAGTCGCCTGGCATGCAGACATGCAGACCCGCATGCAGACTCTGACTGCCGTCTGGATGCTCGGGATGGCAGAGGCAGCTACCGCAACCTTGCTATCTCGAGTCGAGCCTGTAGCAGCAGCGCAACAACCTGGTCGGGATGATGTCGCTGGTAGACCATGCATCCTTCTCACCGACTCAATGTTCGGTTCATCAGTTGTGTGGGGACTCCAAGGCTCACGCTGTATTGAGAGGGCGGGACGTACGAGGTGAGAGATGAGCAACAGTCAAACTTCAAGAGGATGATTTACATGATATGAAGGAATAAATGACTAAGTTACATAATAAAACGACAGTCCTGAATATCAGCGCCAGGCCCGAATCGTACTCTAACATCATGGTCAGAGGAATTCCATTCTTGGATATCAGCTCTCGTTCAAAGACATGCGGCGGAACTTGAACGTCTGAGAAAACTTCGGGTCTTGAAGTTTTGGTTTAGCAAACTGCGGTAAAGGCTCCTCCCGTCGCTGGCAAAGGTCGAATAGCGTGGTTTGTGGTTGATCCGAGAGGAGCTCGTGAGGCTCGTCTATCGTCAGGTCTTCAAAGATGAAGATCAAGGCCTTCTTGCCTATGAGAAGCGCTTGAAACAACAAGTTGTAAAGAAACACCATGACCCGCGAGTTTTGTGATGCTGTCACGCTGGGATCAATCATCCTTCCTTGCTTACTCCTGCGAGATGTTGCGTCAATGCAGAGCTCCGAGCTTGCTGCAGGAGGAAGGAGGACAGTGGCTGGTGGGTGTGCGCAAGGCTGATGAAAGCAAGGGCGGCGTTGGCGAGGATGGAGCAGGGGGGACAGTGGGTCGACCAAGATTTTGCAATCGATCGGTATCTTGTACCAGCCGTATTTCATGCCAGAGCGGTATGTGACTTAGTAAACTCTTTACTCAAATATTGTACTGGGTCACGAGTCATGGGCCCCCGGACTGACGGTCCGGCCGCCGTCAGCGTCTGCTCACGTAGCCGCTACATGACACCAACAACTGATCGATCGAAGGAAGAGGGCGTTTGCAGGATAAAAACAATTCCGGACTCAGCGTGACCGTCACTCGGAACGGAGTCCATGATCGCCAGCCGCCGGCCCGGGGCGCCAGCCGCGCGGCGACAGGCCCCGCCGGCCGGGGCCCGTCGGCCCGGGGCGGGCCTCCGGAGGCCCCGGAGGCTTGTGCGGGGGCAAGGCTGTTACTACTTGAAACGGTTCGTTGCCCACTGGGCCAGCTGTCGAGTGATCGCGGCGCCGCCCGGCCGGGCCGCCGGGATGACGAATCCGACTGGGCGCGGCTGCCAGGGCCGGCCGCAGGTCCACTGGCAGTGCGCGGCGGCGGGCCGCCGCGCCGCCCGCCGGCCCTCAGCGGGCTGAGGCTCCGAGCGACTCCCCGGGGGGAGGCCTCAATGGTCCAGTCCGATCCTGCGCAGGTATCATCATCGGATCCGGGAAGGTTTACTGAGTTCTCCGCGCGCGGCAGTCACGGTCAGGCCCTTGCCGCGCAGTGCCGCCGCCCCGGCTCGGAGTCGCCGGAGCCCGGACTCGAGACTCAGGGAGCCTCAGCCCCACCCGGGGGGGGGTGACTCTGTGACTGCCTACCGTCACTATTAACCGGCGTGTTACGTTCAGTTGTAGCCCCCCCCGCCCGGCCCACCTGAGTCCGGGAACTTCGGAAACTTTTTCACTGGTGGCTGACTCGGATACTCTTGACTCTCGGCGGGCGCCGCAGTCAGGCTGTCTGTATCCGGTATCCGGGCGGCGGCGGCCGGCGGCAGTTCGGCGGCCGCGGCCTGACTCTGACTCAGTGACCGTCCGACTCAGTGATCGGACCGTCTCAGTTTGCTGGGCTTGTCGGGGATGAGGGTCTTGCCACCTGATCGCCATAGAATGGAGGCGAACATTGGAGCTCGTGGGGGTCGAGGTATGATGATGATGACGATGACGATGACGATGACGATGACGACGATGATGATGATGATGATGATGATGATGGAGATGATGATGATGATGATGATGGAGATGATGATGATGATAATGATGATGATGGAGAATATGATGTTTGAGGTGATGATGATGGAGATGATGATGATGATGATGATGATGATGGAGATGATGATGATGATGATGGAGATGATGATGGAGATGATGATGGAGATGATGATGGAGATGATGATGATGATGATGATGATGATGATGATGATGACGACGACGACGACGACGATGATGATGGAGATGGAGATGGAGATGATGATGGAGATGATGATGGAGATGATGACGGAGATGATGGAGATGGAGATGATGATGGTGGTGGTGATGATGATGATGATGATGATCAGGAGGAGGAGGAGGATGGGGGATTTGGTGGTGGTGGAGGAGGAAAAGTGAATGGGAAAGAGGTGATGCGGAGAAGGAAGAAGAAGGTGCAACGGGAGAGAAAGACTTGAGGGTGTTGGGGGTTTAGTATGGGAAACGGAATGTAGTCGAAATTTTGCTCCATTAACAGTAGAGCGCGGATCCGGAGGTTTATGGTAGGAACTTTACTGACTGCCGTACTGCTGTCGCAGGGGGGACACGAGGACGGGGAAGGGGAAGAGGGGGTGCTGGGGGATCAGAATCAGCTGCCAGAGGAGGGGTCACGAGCTCGGGCAGTTACAGTGGGACGGGCAAAGTTGAAGGGGAAGGTGAGAGGATTTCTTCTGTGCCCACGAGATGAGCTTGCCTGACAGTAGCATGCAGGCAGAGATTTGACGCGAGGAGGAGCTAGAGGAGGAGGAAGGGGCAGGGGGCATGACGGAGGCGGAGCAGGAGGTTGCCTGTTGCCATGGAAGAAGATTTTTCTGACACCATCTTTCAGGTCGCAGGTCGTTAGAAGTTTGCTGAGTATGAGAGGAATGCGCTGACTTTACATCAGCCGAGGTGAAGAGGAGCAGAAAAGATCCGAGCAATCGGTGTGTCGTGCTCGCTGAGGAGGGAGGAGCAAGGGGGGCACTCATGGTAGCGCAGGCGATGCCAAGGCAGGATGGAAGGGTCGCGGTCCAGTATCAGGTGACGGACCGCGGTGTGGCAGGAAGCAGCAGCTGACATGTGCGGAACAGCACCTTGACCCGAAGATGGACGTGAGCTCGTTGGTGAGCAACAAACTGATGGACAAGGTGAACGAGACGAGTACATGTTGACCTGACGACTTGAAGACGAAAGTCCCGCTCTCTCCCTCCTCTTGATCCTTGCTCTGCCTCGCTCCCCTTCCCTCCACCACCACCTCCCACTCCTTCCCCTTTGATTCACCCTTCCCTCCCCGCCTGCCTTCTCCTCCCCATCCGTTGGTAGCTGAGTACTTGTTTTCTCAGCGGATAGTCTTCCTCTCGTTCTTGCCCATGGACAATCCTGGTAGCGCTTCATGAATAGCAAGACAACTGTTGAGCATGTTTGTAGGGGGAGCAGGAGACCGCAATCAAACAGCTGAAGTTCTCAAGATCCTCAATGAATCGGCAGACGTAAAGAAACTGAGCAGCACAGTTGGTGGTGATAACATCTTCCTTGCAGAGACTTCTTAGCCTTCACCTGTCTCATTTCTGGGCACACATGATGCACGACAGACAAGTTGAGGTCCCCGCATGCTTCTATCTCGCCCTGCCTTCCTCCTCACAGCCGCTTCCTCCTCCCGTACCACAGACGTTCCTGGAGTCCTTCCTGCGATACCGACTGAGAAACTTCGACGACTTGTGAGAGTGCGATGTTCTGCATGTTGATGGTGAGCATTTTGGCAGCGAGGAGGACCAATTCGAAGGAGTCACCTGTAAGATGCTCGCTGCTATCGGGCGGTTCTCGTTCCCTTCCTCACTCTGCACTCCTTTGCAGTGGATGCTGTACACGAGCTCGAGGAGAAAGTATTGATGGTGACAGAGCTATTGACTTTGGGAGGAGAGCTTGCTTATACTTCTTGTGCCTGCTGGCAGATCCTGTTGAGAGCGTCGTCTCCTCTTGGGTTCGGGAGCGAACTTGAGGTGCTGGATGTTTGGCTGCTCTCGTTGCTCTCAGATTATCACTCCCCTCCTGTTTCTCCCCTCTCTCCTGCTTCCTGTTGTTGCTATGCCTGTATTTTTTCTCTGATCATCGTCTTAGAACGGAAGCTACATTGCTCCTTCGACACACTCGCAGTCAATTCAAAGGAAGTGAGATTTCGTCTTGCATACATTCAGCCTGCTGTCTCGCAACAACCTTGTGAAGTTCTTGTTTCTCACTCGCATGCCTGCGCCCAGGTTGTTCAACATCCCCAAGATCCTTGACATCAGCTCAGTCTTCAGCTCAGTCGATTACATCTTGACGCAGAAGGTAGGTGAAAGCTTTCAAGTAGATTGCGAAGCTATGAAGAAGAAGTACAGCAGATTGTTGAGGGAGGAGGGCGCGGAGGGGAGATGTCAAAAAGGAGGATAGTGATAGAGAAGGACAGAAGATGAACTAGAGAAAAGCTCCTGTGAACATCTCACGTTGCTTTGTGCTGCAGATCATCGAAAACTTGTTCAGTTCACAGCCAGGTGTTTGATTGAACATCTTTCTTTGCTTCACTTTTCATCCCCTCTCATTTTTTCCCAGTTTTTCACAAAGATCTTGAAATCAACATCCAGCGGACGGCCGAGGTTCGAGGTTGACTGCAGCGCAAGACTTCTTGACGTCATGCCAACAGGCAATCGACAAGAGCATTGTCGACATCGTTGAGATCTTGCAAGCTGAAAGAATTCAGGTTGTTAAGCTCCTCGCCCTGATGTCTTTCCTCTCTTCGCTGCTCCTGCTCCTGCTCTTGTCCCTGCCCCTTTCCTGGCTCCAATTTCTACTCCTGCTACTGTGCCTACTTCCGGCCCTGCGACTTTCTAGCTTTCCCTTCGATCGGATGTGTTGTTCTTGTTTATTCTATTTCTCTTTGCTACAGCAGTTTTTTTATGATGTCTCTACATCCAGGGTGATACTCTCATCGACCAAGTTACGTTCCTGGCTGATTCTGCCCTCACGATCCTAAGTTTCCAAAGGTCAGTACAGCAGTGGTGGAAAGTGTTTTAGCCCAATTCATATCATTTGGATGCTTTCTTCATGTTAGTCCCTTGCAGTCTGTGGTAGAAATACTACAACCAGAGTCAGTGAGGAGTTCGACCGGTGTAGCACTAGTTGCAAGTTGATAAACTCTTGTGTTCCTGTTCTAACTGATCATTTTTCTGTCACTTGATTTGATGGTTTATTCTTGTGTGCAGGTTATTTGCCCCCGCTGTGCAGTCGGCAATAAAACTCAAACTGCACTTGAATGTTGTAAGTTGCGACATCAACTAGGGCAAACCTTCACTGACGTACAATCAAAACAAGGCCTTTGCCTACACTCAACTGAACACCTTCTCATCGACTCTCAACAGTCTACATCACATTGTCTCAACAAGACTGTTACAAGTCTGTCATTCACAATCTTGCTGATCATTTCCACTGACGAGTTGTGCAGAGAGCTAAAGCAGGATTGCTGGATTGTTTGTTCTCCTTCCTCACCGGCGGGACGCTTGACGGTGAGATAGAAGTGAGATCTCTGCAGCAGATCGGAAGAGCAACAGAGAGTCAGAATAGAAAGAGTTGCCGTAGGATGGTGTGAGCCAAGGAGACCAGAGATGGGTGCGCACCACAAGAGGCCAAGGAGGAGGAAGGGGAGGGGTTAGCAGAGCAGAGGCGAGGAGCACAGCACAGCACAGCACAGCACAGCACAGCACAGCACAGCACAGCAGAGAAGTGAAGAGGAGATAATCATCTCTTACAGGCGAAAGTTTTGCTCACATTCTCGACGTGTCTCGCGCCAATGACATGCAGAGGGTTGTCAGCGATGTGAAGCAGGCCTTGCAAGAGAGATCGACAAGTCAGGTTGCCCTCCGCGATCTCAACCGCCGCCATTCTCTCCTCCCTTTGCTCGACCATCTCATTGCGTCTTCTTCCAACAAGAACAGCATCGTAATCGTTCTCTTCCCATGACATCCTCCCTTGCTGACTTCTCCTCTCCAAGATTCGGATCCTCCAGGATGTCAAACAGCTTGTCACCCAATCCTTGCAAACCAAGAAATCTGCCGTGCAGAGCACAAACAACAAGCAGGGCAGCGCAACAGAAAATCGGCAGCGCATCGAACAGGTCATGCAAACAATCCTGGGAAGGGAAACGTGTCATAAACTTGCAGGTCATGGAAATCTTCCCTGACCTTGGGGACTACTTCGTCAATGAAATGCTTCAAGCCCATCAGAACGATCCTTCTCTCGTGATTCAGGTATGCCCTTCTCCTTCCCCCTGACCCCCCCCCCCCCACCAACGTTTTGTGAGGGGGGGGGGATATACAATGTCCTAAAACGCATAACCCAATCTACAACTTTAGAATCAGTTCACCTCGTCGCGTATCCACACTAAAGTTAAAAATCAGTATGAGGATAACGATAGAAGTCTCCGATCCTACACAGGGCTTCTTTTCTACCGCCCCAACCACTGGGTCTTCGATCTGTAGCCACCCCTCACGCTCAAGAAGGTGAAGGTACAGCGGCCAGAGGTTAGGACGGCTAACGATGGAGTAAAAAGACAGGAGGCGTTGGATACACATTCCACTCCAGCGAAAATCAGGCCGCTAGCTAGCAATCGAGGTGTCGAACCTATCTCAATTTTCAAT